CTGGAAGTCCAAATCATCAAGCGGTTTTGTAGGGGTCCACTGATATCCATTTCTGGTGTTAGCTGTTGCTGTCTTTATAATCCAGTCTGTTGCTAGTAAAAATAGGAGAGGCGACAAAAGACATCCATTTTTACACACCTGTTTTTTTTTAAAAATTTCAAATACACCTGTTAGCTTTTCTTAAAGAATGTTCACTGATCACACGTTGATGTTGTCTGGTTATCTGGATAAACAAATCCTCCTGGTTATGTTCCAGAGGTGGCACACAAGTTAGCGTGCTCATCTCTACCAAATAGTGGTTGGCTTTCTATCCCGAAGAAGAACTTGAGTTCATCAGTTTAACTAGTAATTTAATGTTTGCTGAATGGAATATTTTCATTATGGAGTAGTTTATAAAAGAATTGTAGGCATCTCTGTATGATGATATACTTCACAGACCTGTACTGAAAGTTCCTTTGAAGATATTCCTTAAATGCTGACAGAGTATGACATTTTACATTAATTCAGTTATTCACACTGAATTGGGCATGGGAGAAGTAATGATAAATACTGCAGACACCTTCGTAATGATATCCTTCACAGACCATGTAGCTGAAAGTGTATTTCAGAAATTTTATTGTTGGCTGACAGTGTAATTTTAAATGATTTTAGTGTGTTCAATGTGACAGGTGATAGAGAATGTCATCTTTCAAAAAAGAACATTTGGCAAGTTATATTTAACTGTTCAAGTTGTAAGAAAAAGGTGACTATTACAGATTTCTGAACAATGTAGTTAGTAGTTATCCAGTCTTTATGTATATGAATCACATAATGATTGCCCAAAGATCAGTTTTTTTTTAAATCAGAGGCTAGCACCATATGAGTGGTCCCTCCTTCTGTAAAGAGTATATTATGTATATTTTCGACTTAGTGTAAAATGTCATTTCATGTCAGAGCAGTATTGCAATATTTAGAAAAGGACTGACCTTGCAAAGGTTGAGCTGCTTGGATTTGAACTTACGTTCATCACTGTAACCTGTAATGATAATGACAATGATTACTTAATAGAATATTGTAAATTTAGTGGAATTAGGGCAGTTAGTTATTGTCTACATCTCTGCATGATGACACACTTCACAGACCTGTACTGAAAGTACATTGAAGATATTCTTTGTTGGCTGACAGAGTGGACTTGACAGTAACTTAGCTTTATATTATTTTATATTATGTCAGAAGGCAAATGTAAACTTTGATGTGGATATGAAGTCACTATTCCGATAATACTTGACTTTTAACTGATTTGAAAAACTTATGCATCACACATGCTAGCATATAATAATGATATATTTTCAGTTTTCATTTTGTTAGATTTTTTGCTGGCACCACATCAGAAATAGAAGTGTTAACAGTTGTTTTTGTCGCCCACACATCTGTATGATGATAATCTTCACAGACCTGTGCTGAAAGTTGTTTGAAGAAATCTGTTGCCTGACAGGATGTGTGTTCTACGGTGATGTTTTTTTGGAGGGCATTTTTTTCTGGCTAGTATAAAATTCAGAAAGCAATGTTATTTCAATAGATTAAACAAGATAACTAGCAAATGCACCCAGTGTCATGTAATTTGGCAATAACTATAATTTTAAACATGGCAAGAGTAATAATGAAAGTTACTGTAGACATCTCTGTATGATGATAGTTTTCACAGACCTGTCCTGAAAGTTGTTTGAAGAAGAAATCTTTTATCTGACAAGGTGTTGTTTAGTTCTGCATATTTTTGCTCTCTATGATAGATAGTGTCATTATATTCAGTCAGGATGTGAAGGGTACAGGGATGAAGTTTACACCTCTTTAACAGAAAGTTTAATTTATTACTCTACACATATAGTTGCATAATTTTCATTTAGAAACTGACATTTGAGCAGATAAGACAGAACTGAGTTAATTCATCAATATTGTATAATAGACACCTTTGCATGAGGATAGTCTTCACAGACCTCCTATACTGAAAGTGCATTTAAGGATATACTTATTGGCTGCTGACAGAATCTGATAATTTATCTGAACTGTTTTGTGTTAAAAACTTTATTGTTGTGGTAGTCGTAGAAAAAATGTTTCTAGGTTTAGAAATAGTTTTTGTCTTATACACGGTCACGCACACAACTGTATGATGATTATTTTCACAGACCTGTACTGAAAATTGTTTGAAGAACCTCTCTTACCTGACAGGGTGTGTTGTGTCCTGTGATTAGTTTTTACACTACTCTACACATCAGTGTCAGTGGTGACTTTATACTGGTATAGTTTCATAATATTCTGGGACTTTCACGCATGTAATATTACATTTGAAATGAAGTATCACATATATAAAAGAATTATTTATGACAATTATTGGGAACACGTCTGTACGATTATATTTTTCATAGACCTGTACTGAAAGTACGTCGAAGAACCTCTTTCTTGACTGTCAGATGGTGATAGTTTAACTTGTAACTTGTCAGGGCTTACTGAGGGGAATATTGTAAGTGTAATAGAATTGATAATGACAGTTATTGTAGGCATCTCTGTATGATGATTTCCTTCACAGACCTGTACTGAAAGTACATTGAAGATACTCTTTGTTGTCTGACAGAGTGCCATTGATGTTAACGTAGCTTTGCATTCTTGAATTTTCTTTATGATGTACAGTGTAATCTAGTCTATGCGCAGTATTTTTCAAAGGTAGTATAAGTTGAGACTTTGTGTATCACAATCATTACTTAAGGACTGACATTTAATGAGACTTTACGGCTAAGATGTTAGCAAATACATCAGTACACCTTGTACTTTCGGCAACACTGGATATATTGTAAGTATGGAGGAAGATTTTATAAACTTTTGTAGACATCTCTGAATGATGATATTCTTCACAGACCTGTACTGAAAGAACGTTGAAGATATTAGTTGGCTGACAGAGATTTATTCTGTGAAGTTTTTATTTTGGCCGTGTGTTTTAGATGAAAATGGTTAGCTTACTAGCAGGGTGATATATCACAATTTATGTAGCACATTTCCAATTCTCAAGAACAAAGGTTATCACACATTTCTAAACATAAGAGTAGGTGTTTGTGGAGTCATAAAAGACTTCAGAATGTCTTGATCTTTAAGTATGTCGTCTAAGTCTTAGTCTTAGTTGAGGTTTCAACATTACTGCAGTCGGGTTTCCCCATACTTGCTTCGTTCCTGTGCCAGTGAAAATCAAATGAAATGTTACTCATGGTTGCAATTGAAAAACTGGTTAACAGACAAGTCCTGGAACAATCCAGAAATATGCACACACAGTAAATGTGTATTTCAGTTGCTGGAGGTACCAAAAAGCCCAGTCGCCACCAGAAATGCAGTTTTTTTGGTGGAAGTAGTCGGGCACGATAAGTTGGTTGCTTACTATACACACATTTATTACATAAGGTATTTTTACCAGATCTTTTGTAAACCGGCTACTGGCCATATTGAATACCAAGACACAACTGCTGCACAAATGATAGGCATTCCACAGGAAAAACACAGCTCACAGGGCTGCAACCAAGCACTCAACTTATTAGCTTAGGCAGTGAAACTGTAGACTACCGTCCTTATGTGGAAACTGCATTAGCAAAGCCTCTGTCGGTGTTATTTAAATAAGTTTAAAGCTTAACATTCTGCCAAGCCTTTCCTCAGTATGTCTAACTAGAAATAAACAGCCTCTGTATGATGATATTCTTCACAGACCTGTACTGAAAATACATTGAAGATATTCTTTATAAGCTGACAGAGTGATAATTTAGAAGAACATGATTGTTTTATGTATGTGTGTTAGATTATGCAAAATACAAAGATGAGGATGTGACAATTTAAATGTTAAACTTTTAAGATTAATTAAATGTAACAAAATCTTAAAAATGAACACTAAAACATAAATAGAAGACACTTTTGAACGGATAAAATTGAAAGTATTAAAAACAAATCATTGAGAAAACTTGTCTTGATTTAGAAATGTTGAAAAACCCTAGCTGCATATCCATCATTAATTTCTTTCGCTGAATATATTGTAAATATGGACATACATATATTAATAAAGAGTTATTCTGGACATCTCTTTATAATGATATTCTTCACAGATCTGTACTGAAAGTATGTTGAGGATATTCTTCATTTGGCTGACGGAGCGATAAATAGATAACATTTAGTTTATTGTTTTGTGTGTATGGTAGATTGTAAAATGTGTCAGCATACCGACAGAAAGATGTGACACATTAAATGACATTATTCCACTGGTGTCACAAAATCCTAAACCCTTTGCATGCACTACACATTAGATATGTATAATTTTACAGTCTAAACTCAGGGTCTCCTAGACTTAGGCCAAGATCAGTTCCGATTAGCTGGTTATATGTTGAAATGATCGTATGTCAGATTTGTATTCTTCGTTTTATTAATTCAACCGCGTTATAAAAATTGTACACAAAGCTCAAAAATTACAATCTATATACATGTAATTATTGGGCACAGTTTGAATATGTATTTCTCTATTGTATCATTTGATGGAACCTACCAATGTATTCTTTCTTTATGTAAACTTTTTTATGAGGTCAAAAGCGTTGATGGTTTTAGGTCAAGGAGAATGTACATTAGAAGTGTATCAGTATTTTTCTTTGAAATATGATTTAAAAGACACAACCACTGGATGATGATATTCTTCACAGACCTGAACTGAAAGTACATTGAAGCAATCCATTAAATTGGCTGACGGTGAAACATTTTTTACATGAACGTCGTTTTTGCTTATTTATATTTGGAAAATGTCAGCTTTCAAATAACAGTAACATGAAAATATATATAGTAGATATTTATGAAGGCTAAAATGAGAAAATTAAGCATGCATCTCTGCATGTTGATATTCCTACACTAACACTTGTAACATTTTTTTAACCATATAAATTCATTTAAATTCATTACGGGAAAACATTGTTTTGAATAAATATATGTGTTGTTTCTTTCTCAATCAGAGATGCAGTCTCAGATCTAGCACTTCACTTCCTGGCTAAAATGAAGATTTTAGTAGTGAAAGATGTAGAAAGAGAAGATGTAGAGTTTGTTTGCAAGGTGAGTCTTCATAGTTTGTCTAGTGGTCACCTAATTATTTTTGTTTGTTTCTTTGTCTAGTGGTCAACTAATTAATTGTCTTTTTTGGTTATCTAGTTGTCACCTAATTAGTTTTGTGTGTGTGTGGGTTGTCTAGTAGTAACCTAATTACGTCTTTTTTTGTTCGTCTAATTATATTTGTGTGTGCATGTGTAAGTTGTAAGAAAGTCATTATCATATGGCAGTTGTGGGAGGTTTCACTGTCTCTCTGTCACCAAAATCACAGATCAGTGAAGTGTTTGTCTCTTCTCTTCCATCTGGCCAGGCTGACCAGGAAATTATATCCACTGCCTTCCTCTTGCTCTCTTTCCATCAATCTTGCAGTAGTTACCAGGTTCTCGGGTCCATTCCTTCTGAGATGTCAAAAAAATGTTCACTTTTGCAGCATAGCTGCCAAAATTGCACCTTGTGGCCAACAAGTCTGATTTCTTTGGGCATTTGTTGCCTGGTTTAGCCTCCCCAGTTAGCTTAATGTGACATTTTTTACCATATATCCCCTGATAGCAAATATTCGCATAGAGGACCCATCTAGGGCAGTCACGTATATATTAGTAAACCCTCAAAGGAAGTTTAGGGTAGAGCAGTGGCATTGCCTGCCATTCAAGGAGACTGCAAAAATGCATGGCAGATACATGACGCTCTTGTGCTAGGCGTAACCAAAGAATGACCTGCACGTGACTGCCTAACTTCACATCCCGTATAATAAGCCTTTCACTCATTAAAGGCTGCTTCCATAGGACGCCCCAGTAAGTAGTCTGCAGACCTGAGACTTTAATTCCCTGCACTGAAGTGGGCATTTCCTATTACTTTTCCCTTTGACAGTAGTACCCTTTATGCAGATGCCCACAGCCATTTTGTGTTTGACATTTGTGCTAGTCTGGAAGAGCCACAAGAAGTACTGTTCTGATCGTGCCATTAATGGACAGGAGAATTAAAATACTAAGGTCTGTTTACAAAGCTTGCTTATCAGAATAGAGACGCAGAAAGAAGAATGAATAGCGAAGATTAATTTTTCGGTATCTTCATAGATGGTGTTGATCATAAACTGCATCACTCTGCTAGTTGTTGTTTGCATTCACCGGCTGTAAACACTGACGGAAAGACCTGGTTGTTCATCCATTACTGGACTTTGGCTTTATTCCAGGACCTGAGTTTTGTGTGTGCATCTGTTTTACAGATCTTGCTTATTTATATGCGGACTGTTGGTTCCTTGCCTCTCAGGCAGATGCACAGTGAGATCTGGAACCCACTCAGGGAACTCTAGTGATGCACTGATACTGAGTGAAGAGAGATTTAGTTTTACTAGATAATTTTACAGGTTAAAGAAACTAGCATCTTTGCTTAGCAAGAGGGACTTTGTGTTGTCTTAACGCTAGTAATCTGATTGGGGGAGGGGGGTTCATGACTGATTCGCCTCCACACTTAGAATTCAGATTAATAGAAAATGGAGTCTAGACGCATGCGTTTTGGATTTTTCTAGTTGGTGTAGCATAAGCACAAAAGAGAGTTGTTTTTTTGACCCCCCCCCCCTTTTTTTTTTTAAAATCTTTGCAATTTGTTTATTTCCTAATAGACTCTTGGATGTCGGCCAATTGCAAGTTTGGACCACTTTGTGCCTGAGAGTTTGGGCACTGCAGAACTTGTTGAAGAAGTCCAGACAGGCACAAGCAAGGTTGTCAAGGTAATGGAAGTGCTATATAATATAGTTTTAAGTTACCAGAGGTAGTTAGACAGTAATGCCCTACACCTCAGCAAATTATAAGGGTAGAAACATGAAATTTTGTAGGTTTGAGATGTCAGTATTTTTTACCAACGCTAGAAGACCTTCATCACTATTTATCCTGCAGCCATTGATGACACGAATATAGGAGCAATATATATACACCTGACCTTTGCATTTTGATGACTCCTTTAGGTAAATCATGAGTGGCATGTATTTTTTTTTTTTTAGTTCAGCGAATTTTATCCTGAGCTAACCAAAATGAACATCAGCCACAAGATTAGTTGTTTATTGTGTATGTTGCTGCACTTGAGCTCACAAGGCTCCAAAATAATTTTGTAGTAATGATTGTCTCTGTGGGCTAATGTTTTAATTGATGAACCTTTTGGTAGTCTTTTCAAGTGTTCTGCCACCATCATCATCATCATGTGTCTTGCCAGTAATTGTAGGCTGTCTAGTTTCATCATCGCACATAATCATCAGAATCACAGGTTAGGTCAGTGATCTCATCACATCCATTTTGCTCAGTCATCGGGTTTTTTTTTCTTTGCCTTCTTGTTGCTCTTCCACCAATCTTGCCAATTGTTCGCAAGTCCATTCCTTTGTGTAACATATCAAAAAAAAAATACAGTCTGCATATACTTGCTCTAAATTTTATTCTGGGTAGGTAACTGGCATTGCCAACCAAGGTCGGACAGTGACTGTGCTGATGCGAGGCTCCAACAAGTTGGTTTTGGATGAGGCAGACAGATCCTTGCATGATGCTCTGTGTGTCATCAGGTGCTTGGTTAAAAAAAGGTAAGATTTTAAAAGTAAAACTGCTATCCTAAGTTTAGCTTAAGGGGTCACTACACGGCATTTTTCCCAATTTATGACAAAAATATCACTTTTTCAATGTGTTCGTTTTTGTAAAGTTCGGCATTCGTAGAATAGTTGACACACAAAATTTATGTCATTTGTAAACAATTTAGCATTGAAAAGTTAATACTAACGACACCACCTCGTGCACTTTTTTAAGATAAAAAAAAGTTTAAAAGTCAATTTTCTCAAATCTCTATATTTCAGTTTGCTGTGTGTGTGAAATCCTAAAATCTAAGCTAATATAAAGAGTAGAAACACAAAATTTTGTATGCCTACTCCATAAACAATATTATAGGGACTGGCTTATCTTAAAGTAGATTTTAGAAAGTTTTTATTTCTAAAATTTGATTATTGTCTCATGATGCTCGATTTTTTTGACTTTTTCAATAAACCTACATTTTAAAATTCTACGAAAAATATTTAAAAACATGTTTAAAGTAAATAAACTAGACCTGTAGCTCTAAATAGAATAAATGATTATGGATCCATCATCTATTGTTGAATACCTATCTTTGTTTTAAAAATTTTAGGATTCTAAGTACATATTGTTTTTTTTCACAAGATGGCGGCTATTGCCATGACAACTATGATTTTTTTAACACTTAAAGTATGCAAATGTAATAACATGTATCCCTACAAACGACCATTATAAAATAACTGCTCTAAGTCTGTAAATAAAAAAATAAATTTTTTTGGTGTAGTGCTACAGGAAAAATTTTTTTTTTTTTTACTGACAATGTTAGACCAATTATTTTATAATGGTCATTTGTAGGGATGTATGTTGATACATTTGTAGACTTCAATAAAAAAAAACATTGTTGCCATGGCAACAGCCGCCATCTTGATGAAAAAACAACATATACTTACACAGCTAAAATCTCAAAAACAAACAGAGGTATTGAGAAACAGATTATCGATTCATAAACTTTAAACTTATGTTTAGGGTCAGGTCTAGTTTATTTACTTTAAAGATGTTTTTAAATATTTTTTTTAGAATATTAAAATTTTGATATGTTGAAAAAATAAAAAAATGTAGCTTTTTTATTTAATAATCAAATTTAAAAACAAATGACTTAATAAACTGTTATTCCAAATAGACCTGACCCTATAATATTGTGTTAAAAAAAATCCACACTAAATTTCACGTCTCTAGTCTGTATATTAGCTGAGATTTTAGGAGATCCCACAAACAACAAACAGAAAATAGAATTGTTCGAAAAGTGACTTTTAAACTTTTTTTTATCTCAAAAAAGTGCATGGGTTGGTGTCTTTAGTATTAACTTTTCAATGCTAAACTGTTTACCAATGACACAAATTTTGTGTGTAATCTATTCTACGAATGCCGAACATTACAAAAATGAACACATTGAAAAAGTGATATTTTTGTCATAAATTGGAAAAAAAAAGCCGTGTAGTGGCCCCTTAACACATCTAAAATTCTATGGTTTTTTTAAAAAGCATTTGAAGATTTGTTTTGTAACAAAGAAATGGCCAAAAAGCACCAATCTTATAGCATTTGTACATCTGAAACAAAAATGATCCATGTAACCCAAAAGAGGGACAAACAAACTTTAGTGTCAAAGAGTTTTAAAATTGGGCTCAAATGCTAATCTTATATTCTGCCATCAGAGGAAGAAGTTACAGTGCACAGGGAGAGAATAGGGCTTATAGACACAAATCATCCACAGTCGGCTGCAGACTACTTAGTAACCATCAGGTATCCCACTTTAACTTTAACCTGTTGAACAGGGTTTCTGGGATTTGTACCTGTTTGATTCTCATCCTTGAGTGGTAATCCAACAGACTGCAATACCACCTGGGAAAAATTCTAGTGGAAAGGGCTTATATAGATAGCGAGTGTTTTGCTTTTGTAATGATAGGACTCCGTGTCTTATTTTCCAGGAATTTCTCATCTGTTGCAATGTTAATGTACATTTTATTAATCTTCCAGAAAATTTATGGAGTTGAAATTGTTAGTGATTTTCTCTAACTAAAACTAAATAATGTACTTATTGAAATTATTTCTACATCACGTGTTTGATTCCTCAGTTTAGTCTGTTCTCTGTGCCCTGTATTCTGTCTGCTTTTGTAATATGCTAGCTAATTTAGCATGGGCAGTGTAGTTGGCCATCTCACACATGCCTCAGTCACAGATGAGATTTTTTGGCTTACTTGTGCAAAGTGGCCAAGTCATTCAGGAATTCTCTCGTCTTCCTCTTTTCACATTGACTTTACTAAGCTGTTCTTCCTTACATGTCCAAAATATCTGCATATGTGCATTTGTCTAGTTAAATTGCACCCCCAGAGATCACATTTTATGTTGTCACCACATTTTATGTTGTTATTAGGTGTCTCAGTTTGTTTGCCCATGTCTATAAACTACAGCTTCTTTATAGCACTTTAATGCTGTATGTGTATGCGTGTTACCTTTATGGAGTTTTACAATGTGTCACTGTCCTACTTTTTGCTTAGATCACATGAAACCATTAAATGTATTAATGTGCATTACTGACGTGTCGTTAAATTGTTTAGGGCTCTCATAGCTGGTGGTGGAGCTCCAGAGATTGAACTTTCACTTCGTCTCATGGAATATGCCAATACCCTCACTGGCGTTGAGCAGTATTGTTGCCGAAGTTTTGCAGAGGCCTTGGAGATCATCCCTTTCACCCTTGCAGAAAATGCAGGTTTGAACCCAATTGCTACTGTGACAGAGTTGAGAACAAGACATGCCCAAGGCGAAAGAACAGCGGGCATCAATGTTAGAAAGGTAAGTTACAGTGATTGTGATTTTCATCATTTATTTGTCCTAGACTTTCATTTAATTATCCTGCCGTCGTCAGTTGCATTATTTGGGATCTTGTTCAGGGGTTTGACACCGTGGTAATGGGTAGTTAAGTCTTCCTATATTTTACAATCTTGGCTTGTCCACTTATCATAGTAGTAAATATTTTTTATTGAGTAGGACATAACACACTTGTATAGCAACATTCACATTTATAAAACTTGCTTGGAACATCTTAAACTGTACATAAAACTTTTCTGATAGGAAACATTTAGTTTAAAGACAGCTAGCATGTTATACAATTCATAGAGATGAATCTCTACCAAGATGGGCATTTTTATGTTAGAATTGAGTTTCCAGGTCGAGCTCAGGATTTGGGAAATGTTCTTGGCCATGAAGGTCACTGGTGTCGCACTGATCATGTCAGGGGTATCCCTGGTGCAGTGGTCAAGCTGTCGGTTTACATTGTGATATTTGTGAGTGTTTCACGACTGCATCAATTTCTACATGGGTCGCTGCAGGAGCTACAGGGTTCATACTTTGTCACTCTTGGCAGGTGGCTAGCCATTTTCTTGATTGAGACCGAATCAAATGAGATTAAACCTGGTGTAGTGGAGTCATTTTTCTCGACTTCGATAACTTTACATTGATAATTTAACTGTCTACAAAAAAAAATGGAATAATCATGATGTGTGCAGTAAGCCTGAGTGTATAATACTGTGATAAGACTTGCCATGGTAGAACTGTATAATTATATATAGACAAGTAACATCAGCTTTTCTGTAAGGATTTTATGATTAGGGAGTGGAAGTCACTTGTAACAGTTTTTTAATATGGAGGTGATATTTGAACTCACCCTGCAGAAAGAAACAGGTCTAGGCTTTTGAATGTAAGTGTGTTTGAGGAAAACTGCCTACCATGTGAGGGGGTACAAAACAGTTCAGGGCAAATTGAGAAGAGGAGGGCAGAGACAAATCTTTGGCTGATAACATGAACCAGCAAGAAAAAACAGCTTACCATATTTCTGCCTATGGCTCTGGACAGAGAGCAGGTTAATTATACTGGTCATTGATGCATCTGTCATGATGCAGATTAATTAATATTCATCATCGATGTGCAATCGTTAGATTGCACTGCAGTGATTAATATCCATGGCCGCAGGATGATGTGAAATCCAAGAATATAAAGTTTAAAAGCCTCAATTTATTTTTTTAGTGTCTGAAATGGTCTGTAATTCAGATTGGTTTGTTATTTATAATAGTGTCAGATTATACAACTGGGAAACTCATTAACTGACAGTATGTGTGGCTCAACAGATAATTCTGTGGGATTTAACAGCTGAAGCATGAGGAAGCATGTTTATTGCAGGTCTCATCTCATTTCTCATGATTATCTATGGTAGATATTCAATGACTGGTTGGTTGGTTTTATATTGAGATCTTGCTGCTTCTAACTGATTACTGTCATTTGTCAGGGTGCCATCACAAACATCCTGGAAGAAAGTGTTGTTCAGCCTGTCCTGGTCACTATCAGTGCCATCAACCTGGCAGCAGAGACAGTGCGGTGTATTCTGAAAATAGATGATATCGTAAGTATTACCATACTAGCAGTGTTAGCAATTTCTCAAATAGTTTATAGAAACATTTCATCTGAATGTTGTGAGAGTTGTTGCAAGCAGGCTTACCTGCTGATACTGGATTCTAGTTCTCTCAGAGGTGGGTTTTTCTGACCATAGCCTTGTCTGCTGGTGAAAACCATCTTACAGTCTCAAACTTACTCTTATGTACAGGCAAGTGACTCTTTCACGTCCACTAAATCATCCAGCCTGGGGGAAAGGGGTTCAAAGGGGCGCCAAGCAATTTTTAAACCAATTGCATTTTTATTTGCAATAATCCGCTATATTTTTTTAAAGTTTAATTATATATTAAAATAATAAAATAGTTTAAACAAAATATGAAACAAAAGCTAAGGAATATTTTTGTATTTGTAAGCAGTATTGTCTATCTAAAATTAAACATCTGATTAATATGATAACACAGGCATTTAATTAAAGATTAAGAAAACATTCTGACCAGAATATATTTCCGTAGGCGGTTTCCCTTTTTGCAGAAGCTATTGTACTAATCTTTTTTAATCACATTTTGGGTATGGTGGAGTGGGCACAGAAGCTGATGACATACATAAGGCAAATTCTGTCACCTACCAGTTAGCCCCACTGCTTAGACACAAAAATGTCTCCTTTCCATCAAAACAGCAAATGATTAATAGCATTTTTATCCCTACTTTTATCAGTGCCAAACATGGACAATGAATAGAGCACTAAAACAGAAAATAACTACATGTTAAATGCGTTGACCCCGCAAGCTCACTATCAACACAAGTAGAGATGGTTATAAATACCAGCGATAAAAAGTTATAAAAAGGCCATGTCTGGATTATATTAAGAATGAAATGGTTCAGCATTTAGTGAGAATGCAGCCATACCACAACATATTAGACTTTTCAGCAGAATATCTGGGATAACGGCAAGAGGAAAACCAATAAATTCATGGATAAACGATGTAACAAACCTGCAAAAAGATGAACAAATCCACCACTCAAGCCAGCCCAGATGCTGAAACAAATACAGAAAACCATGACACTAGGCTTTACCTGGTATCAGTGAGATGACAAAAGAAGAAGGGGAAGGGGGGGGGGGGGGGGAGGTGGCTTGCCATATACTCTAAGGGAAAGACTACTGCTAAACGCAAAAGGCTGATTCCAGTTTCTAGACTTGTTTTTCAGTTAATATTGATGCACACGTCGGCATCTTTCATTGTCACCCCATGCTGTCAGCCAGGGAGTTTCAGATAGGGTGCTCATCCAGTCTTCGTGTTTAGAAGTCTAGAAGAATTTTTAACCAAGTCTATAATAGCTGTGAAGAAAGCAGATGTGAAAGTAAAGAACATTTTTAGATAGGATAGGAACATGAGTTGGCCTTATTTTGTCCAGTTGGCAGTAGAGAATTCCTAACTTGGTGTGTTAATGATTTACTAAAGGTCACCTGCATGAGTCTCGCTGCACTGAAAGTTGAGAAAAAGCATGAACCTGAAGACAATTCTGAGGGATAGGTGTGCCTGAGATAGAAGTATATTCACAAGTTCACATTTTGTTTGTATTAACTTCAATTATGGATGGCGAAATTAAAATCATATTTTGTTTTTGTTATTTGAATTACTAGTTTTGCATTTCTGCAAGTTTTTAGTTTTTGGATTGTGAAGTTGTTTTCCAAATTCCAGACCAGCAACTCAGACCTAAATGCAGCTTATAAACATAGAACACGAGTATAAGATTTCATATTAGTTTACAACAAATTTAATAACGATCAGTTTCTAAAAGATGCACATTAAAATACCAGTATTGAAGATCTCCAAAGTAATTTATGGACATTTTAGTTTCTCTGTAATGTTGACATTATACTCGTTCATATTTTACGTAACGGAGTGTGTAAGCACGGGGGCGTTATGCATAAATAATATAAATAAATACATTCATACTGAGAACTAATTGTGACTTACACCTGAGATGCAGAAGGCAAACTATGGCTGGAAAAGCAGGTTTAATATTTAAACACCTAGACTTTCATTAACAAAGAAGCACTTAAAGGTAAAAATAAGAAGGAATTTTAAACAATTATGAAACTGGTGAGAATGAAAATATTCTACATAAGAATTCATTTGGGGGTATTCAGATCTAAATTTTTTTGTTCAATTTCTGACTTCTGTTTGATTTTTTGACAGGTTAGATCACATTTAATTCTCTTTGGGTCACATATAACAGGACTGTTTGCACTAAATTTACCCAGGTGCCAACATTTTGAGAACGGTGGTTAACTTGGGCCAGAGGCTAGTGCTTCAGCACAGAAGTAGCATTAATACAATATAAATGGCAATAATCCTCGGGCCACTTGTTAGGTCTCTGAGGGCCAGATTTGGTCCACTGACAGTATTTGAATAGCCCTGACAATATAACATGGATTAGTTTTTGGTGTGTTTGAAAGGCTCATATTATTACTAACCATGCAGGCGTTGCAGATTTTAATTCATAATTGTGTGTATTATTTCAGATTAACTGTGTTCGCAACTGAACTACTAGCACTGGTATCATGAGTATTGTTTAACTGGCCCGTCTGACAGAAAGCTCAGGAATCAACAACTGTCAAGAATTCAATGTTAGTAGTGAAAGTTTGCAGTAACAGTGAACAATGTGTGTAATTGTTTGTACTAAAGTACAATCTGTGTGATAAACTACCAGTTTGAGTCTGTTGCTAGGTTGTATAAAACATAAAACATCCATTATTCTAATTTTATGAATTTTTTTAAAAAGTGTACACATGATGAATATCAGTCAAATCAGATTGTTGTTAACAGTTTATGACATATAAACATCTACCTACCTACATGGGCACATTTGTTGGAGGAAAGCTCAGTCACTGGCATGATGTCATAATTTGTACTTACAATAAGGCTTGCCATTCATTTTGTTTGCATAATTTAATGTGCCTGAATGAAACAGACATTCAGAATGTACTATTCCAGCTAGCTATTAAGCAAGTTTATAAAATGACAAACACTTGTATTTACACCCATTATTTTGGCTACACATATGAAATTGTCACTGCTCGTAAAAGTCAATACTTTTGTTAGGTAGATTGTGCTAAACTCAAGTAGTATTACTTTCCACAGAACTTTTGTATCTGTTAAAGATAATGAAACCACAAAAATGATGTCTGTTGGATGATTAAATACTGTGATAAGGCAATGCAGCAGATGTCTTGTGGTTTAACACAACTATGATCACTTTGTTTATAAGATCATATTTAGTAGCTCTCATAAATATTGTGTTTTGTTAATACCAGCTTCAATAATTCAGTCATAAATATTACAAAGGGCCATTTGTAACAAGGCAACATAATTGTATTTCTCTGTTTGCAAGGTTTGGTTCATTTATTCAGTTGCAGTATTAAGTAAACTAAATTTCGGAAAATTTATGAGGTTAAAGATTTTTCCGTTTTTTTAAAGCAATTATTTATATTGTGTAATTGTTTCTTATTTTGGATAAAATAAATTTAGAACAAAATGCCACAGCTGAGTGTTGGTTGTTGCTGAAGTTGGACATTGGTGTCATTGACCTGGTCTTTCTGTTTTTTTTTCTTCAATGTGTGAGTAATAGAGCATGCTGGAATACCAGTGATTATTTCACTTGCATCAGGGTTGAGAAGCATAGGCTTTGTTAGGCAGAGTGTTAAAATACTTTGCATATGACACTCCTGGCATTGTCAATAAAACCATGGACGGAAGGAGGAAGGTCCACTTATAATGAAGCAGAAACACTTGATACAGTCAGAGCAGCTAGAGTTTGAGAACAACTCAGTATTTAAAAAATGGCAGGCTACACCAAATCCAAACAGGGGGAAGGTAAAATGCAGTGGTGGTACATAATGTCAACCAGTGCCAAAACAACATGTGGAAAATGGTGCCACACATGGAAGTTGGAGTGCATTTGCCTGAAAGACGGAACCCAAAATATATGCAAATAAGCTAATTTATAGAGGATGCAAACAAACTCACAGCTTGATGGTACAAGTCAACATGACTTGCAGATAATACATGCTACAAGCCAAGTTGGGGGGGGGGGGGGGCAGTCTTAGGTCAAGTCTGCTGCAAATGATAAAAGTCAACTCCAAGGTGTCTAAACGTTAATCAAAAGACAAAGGCCAGAAACGTAGTATAACACTTATGATCCGAATGAAAATGCAAAAATGTGATATGTGGACAAGACTCGCCCAAACACTACGAGCACTTGCTAGTGTTGCTCACTCATCTTGAAACATTAGAATCCATATTCCATATCGGATTCGTTATCAACTCCCTACAGGTCAACAGTACGACCTTGAAAATGTTAAGTCGCTTCAGCAAATTCATATGCAGTCCAATACTCATGAACACCACCATGTCATTCCTTCTTGATTTAGCCACCAGTTTCGTTGAATCATCCAATGAGTTAGAATAATCTTGCTTCCTGCAGAAACAGCAGTACGGCCACAGCACTAGGCTAAAATCTTCACTAGGTTAATCTTCCTCTAGCATCCACCAAGGCCCTACCATATATCCGCTTTCTTGAACTTCTCTACTGCTAATCTCTTAGATACAAATCTCCTCACACATACGTAATGCTATATGTAATTCCTATTTGCTCAGTCAGTATTGGTATGAAAGTGCAACATCTGCACGCGATAACTGCTCATGCTCCTTTCCAAACTAAATTTCTGCGTGTGCAGAGATGAGGGTGATTTACGTTCAAAGAATTCAACGAGGTCTCCTTAGTTTTTTTTTCAAGGTTGTTTCAGTGTAATACTGAAACAAAATGTGTGCCTTATTCAAGGGTGTACCAAGCACACAAGGTACTTCATTCGTGCCACTTGTGTGGGTATACCAGCAAATATATCATGTGGCAGGTCCTTTGCAGAATGTCGCTCGTATCATGGTCTGCCTGGAAGAAAATCGGTCTCTTGCCAGCTCTCCCATCTCATGCACTTTCATACTCATGAAGTCACTTATATCCTGTGCCCATCTTTGTGTTGGTTGGCCCCTGTCCAATTTTTGTTGTTGTAGACTTGGTGGTAGAGGGGAGCAAACTGAAGTCCTGTCTGTTCTGGACCTGGTACCTGAAAGGGGAAGGGAGGGAAAGAGAGAGAGTCATACAGAGAGGGAGGAAGACATATGCTGAGGTAGACTGGGAGAGACTAAATATGGACAGGTAGAGGAAAGAAGGAAAAGAGGGGGGGGGGGAAGGAGAAAAAAAAAGATAAGAATGAGGATGACATGATGTGGGAAAGGGACAGGGAAAGACAGGGAGACAAATACAGAAAGAGGGAATGCAGAGATGGGCAGATGAAAAGAGAAGGAAGAAGGGAAAGAAATAAAGATATGGAAGGAGGAAGAATATGACAAAGAGTTGGAGAGAGGAAGATGCAAGCAGAGAGAGATGTTGACATAAAGGAGAGAGACACAGGGACATCATAGAGAGGGAGAGAAAAAGGCAGAGCAGGAGAATGGGAGGGAGGTATACAAAGAGGAAGTGATGAAGGGAGGCAAACAGACATAAAGCGATAGAGATGGGGGAGGAAGGCAATGACAAACGCAGATAAAGAAAGAGACATAGTAAAAAAAATTATGCCAGAATCGCTAACAAACATAACAACACATCAAAGAGAAACCCCACCCACTCCCCCAACCATAAAACAATTTCAAGTGTACTGAACACAAAAAATGGGGGGGGGGGGGGGAAGGTAGAAAGAGAGAGGAGAGGGTAAGGAAATCTAGAGAAAATAAGATAGAATGGAGAGGAGACGAAGAGATGGGACAGGAGGGAGAGCAAGAGAGAACAGTTAGGAAATAATGAAGAGAGGAAGGATGGAGAGATAAAGGAGAAGAGTGGAAGAACAAAGGAAAGAGAACGGGTGAGAGAAGAGAAGACATGGTTAGGGGGATGAGGGGTTTGGGGGTGGGTGGCGGTAAGAACACTGAGCGCCAAAACAAAAATAGAATTAGTAAATCTAAGTGAGACCATTTTTTCGGTTTCCACCCTCTCAATGTGAATGTGTCCGTGGTCCATAAACAACAGTGCTAACCCCTAACGCCCAATGCTTGCTTGTCTGCTCTGCGTGTGACTACAATAGTTCCATTTCTTACACTCAAGGCTGGTGGACCTGGGAGCCAAGGTCATTTTTTGAAGAAAAAAAAATCCTGTTTTATAATCATGTGTGAAACAGAATAATCACTTTGCTTAGCCCCACCATCTCCCAATGTAATCCTTGTTTCTAGAAACCACAGCCATAAAGCTATTTATACTATTAGTACTACCGGACTCACTAGAAACAAAGGCACACAAGTCAGCGGTTGCTCCTTCCGCCCCATGCAATGCAGCTGATATCTGCATTTATCCATGAGCTGCAACACAGCCTGCCCTTCCCTAGCCTTTAACAAGCCATTTCAGCTAAAAATAGCAGATAATCAACTGCCTTCATACCTGAAATGACCATAAACAAAAGTAGCCAAAACTTGCCAAAAAAAAAAAGCCCAACTGCCGAAAATCGCTTGACTTCCGACGATCTTATGATCTTATCGTGGCGGTCAAAATTCAAGGCTATTTATGGTCAGAATGTCTTTTCTAAGGTAAAAAAAAAAACAAGGCTCAAGGTTGGGGTCAAGCAAAACACAAAATCTGACATTTATACTTGTTCAAGGACAGTTTCTTTCCAATGATGCTACATGCACAAGATACAAACTTTTGTAACTTTTGTTCAAGAATAAATGTGAAGCTATATGTCTGCCATGCTGTTTCATCAACGTCACTAATAAAAATAGTATTTTTATAATTACTAATTCAAATGAGGACTCTTCCAGCAACTTTCTGAAGCAACAGTATAAAGTTTTTAATGATATGCAGGTTTTTATCTAATGTGAAGACTCTCAATAGAAGCAGGAATTAAGACTGTTCCGAAGCTGCATAGTGTCTTCCAGTTGTGTGGCAAGACAGTAGGAATATGATGGACCTCTACTAATGCGGGGCAAGGATTTCCTTCTCACTTGAAAGTTTTAATGAACCCCTCCTCCCCGTCCAAGACTTTGGGCCAGCAGGTGAATGTCTAACCACTGTGGCACTTGCCACAGAAAAAATGGGGTCATATTCACTCAGTAGGCCAGTCTAGGCTGAGCAAATGATGCCACTTTCTGCACAACTTCAGACCTTTATCCTATTTCTTCTGTTTATGTAATCAACACTTGAAGGTTATAAAATAATAACAGAACTCTTAAATACCATTTACAGAAAATATATTGTTTAACATCTACTATGAAATGATTTCATGTTGTTCAAACTACAACAATTTGCATTTGGCTTCATGCAATGTTCATAACATATGCAAAGTTAAAGTACACCTCCCTGGAGCTAGAACATTAATTCTGTAGTTTCTTGCTTCCACTGATTCAGCTGTTGGATGTAACACTGAACCCACATTCTGTAATTCTGACATTCTCTAAATGTCTAATGTCAAGAGGATCAAACTGATTGCATCAGGTGTTATCCCATATGGATTGGTCCCTCTGAACAGAATGGCCAGCCACCTGACAAGAGCATCACACACAACACTTACTCCGTAGCTTTAGTGATGATCCCCAGGGTTGAGTAGAAATGGCATTCCTGAACTGACCGTTACAATTCGTGAAATGATCCTACAAGCTTCTGAGCCTGAGGCACCAAACCAATGATCAGCAAACTTTTATATGAGAGCCAAAAATCATCTGCAGGACGAATTTTTTTTTTTTGGAGAGCCAAATTTCTTTTCAAGAACCATTTTTTTAGGAGTCAAAACCGACTTGTAGCCGCCTGGCCAAGCCACACTCAGGTCGCTAAAGAGCCGCATGCGTCCTGCAATACACAATTTTCCGACCACTGCACCAAACCATGAAGACGCCTGGTCTGACATTCTTATGAACTGACAATTCCCAACATAAACTGCTATAATTTCCAGCTGACAATGAATCATGAGAGGCAACTCTCAGTAGCATAAGATTATGTATGTGTGCCCTGGGCATAATGCATCTGCTGACTGCTGGACGTCTGCTGTGCTCTGGCTGCAGCTCGCAACTGCTGATGTTGCTGCTGCTGCTGCCTCTGGATGTTTTCATCGTAAGATCTCACAGACACTGTTGCACGTGGTCCGGTGTTCCAGATGACTCCATTCTCATCAACAACTCCGGCCTCAATCTAAGTGGATTAAAAAAAATAATAGAAGTTCAGTTGACTAGTTTAAAAAAAAAAACCTACAAATAATTCATTTTGATTATCCTGTTTTGCACATGATTATAAAACTGGGTCTGTTAACGAAATGAGGGACAATTCTTTTATATATAACATGTGGCACCGGTATGTTATTAGGCAAATATGCAGCCTAACCGACATCATACCTGGTGCAGAATGGATACCTGTGCCTCAGGCGTTTATTTGTACATTTTCCTGTATTGTCACACTCAACAGGCGATGTAGAGAAGATAATCCTGTAGCTGTTAATGCAGAGGTCAACGCTCTCATCGGTGAAAATTCAGACGAAGCAGATGCACTAATCTATACAGACGGATCAGTTATACGCCAAAGAAGAAGCGCATGGGCATTTACAGCACGCTCAGCGGGCAGAACAGTCAAAGAAGCCAACGGCGCCTTCTCCATGACAACCAGCAGCATGACGATGGAGGTGATGGCAGTGACGCAAGCGTTTGCCTGGCTTGAAACACAAAAATACACCCGCATATGTATACTCAGTGATTCAATGAGTATGATCCGGAGGGTTCAGGCAGGTTCAGTGCAAAGACAATGGCTTGAATCAATTCAGAAGTCCACTGTGCGAGGAGTCACCTTTATTTTTGTTCCGGGACACGCAGGCGTCGATGGAAATGAAAGAGCTGACAGGTTGGCTGGATCCGCTATCACTACCGACGGTCAGCCTATGGATCATGCTGATATTATCAATGCCCTCAGAGAAATGGGAAGGATAGAGGACTTTGGTGGCAGTGAATCCACATCACTCGCCAGAATGGCAGACTTGGGAATTAAGATCGGCACAGCAAAAAACGAGATGCACACCGGACACGTCAGAAGACTTGTTAATCAACATAGAACTGGTACTATTAGCCATCGGACGTTGGGATTCATACTGAGGGGAGGATCTGAGCACCTATGGACATGTCCGGAGTGCAATGATGATAACCCAACTAACTAACTAACTAATGTGGCACCGGTACAATTCCAATTCCTTTTAAGTAAAAATCAAAATCTCAACCATGTTAAACCTGCTGCTAGCTAGCCGAAGCTGCCAACAGTCTCCGGCTATATTTGTGGTCTTGTTTATTTGTGCCACTTTATGGCTAAATTTCTGGTATTTGTGCCGTCTCTGGGCTAAAAAGCTTCTTTCCTCCAAGTCAGACGGCTCATTCCCTAACCTGTTGTCAACTGTGTTCTTGCACTTTCATTTCTGATGTTTCATCCTTGGTTTCAGCTCCTTCTGATTAGGCCAGTATTTTACTGGCTTTATAACCAAATTTCATGGCTATTTTCTGCTCTATCAGGTCAACAACATGGCCTAGAATTTTCACTCGCAATAAAAAAAAAAAAATTTGCACTTTAAGACCACTGAAAGGAAACCAGTGAAGCCAAGTGACATATTAAGAACAGTACTATTTAGCAGCTATGTTAGCCGCTAAATGTAACACAGAGCACTCTTCAAGAACTTCTGAGGTCGTACCTTGTTTACAGTGATCAAAAGACAAGGGAGAAGAAAAAGGTTAAGCTATCAAAAATGAAGAGAACTGAAAGCAGTGTACAAGTGAGTGACATCATCAGATGGCTTCATCAGCAGTGTCATGATTAACTTGATGAACAAATACTTTTCAGGGAACGGTCTTGGAAGGAAAGATGACATGAATGAGAACTGGCCAAACCAACACATCATGCTACATTGTGAAGATCTCTAATACTTCATACCAAAGAACAGTTTCTGTCACTACATACAGAGGAGTCAATAAAACAGTGTACGCTGATGTATGACACATTGAAGGAGAACTTAAATGACTGAAGACTCCCAAAACAAAAGTTACAACCTTAATTTGTAAGCTTCTTTGCAGACAGTGAAGTTGAATCTCAAGAAGAAAGTGAATACATCACATAAACACTATGTATCTGAGGCTTAAAAAACGTGGAAAAACACTGGGACACTTACCTTGGCAGTGTGAATACCCAGAACAGGGAAAGGCAACACAAAACTGGTCATGAAATAATCATTGTGAGGCTGGACTGTCTGGCTGAGCTGGACGCTTGTTGTTTCATTCACCTGAGGGACAAATACAAACTAAATGCAAATATACACACATATATGTATGTGTTTATGCATATGTATGTAGACGTATGTCAGCATCGTGGGTTAGGCGTTGCGATCCCAGCTGCGGACAATTTGTGTTGCACTGGTTTCGACAGTAGTAACGATAACTCACCGTTCAGAAAGCAATAGCAAACTATTGAACGTAAAATTTGCCTACAAAAACCACAACAGTGAAAAATTGCTAGGGTTGGTTCTGCAAAGTCCTGTAAAGGATATGCTACTAATGTAGACATATATATATATATACACACACACACACACACACAATGCATGCACATGTAAACAGTTCATAAAAAAGAACAAACCAATGAACAAACGTTTTAAAGGGTTACATTCATTATATGGTGCTGGTAATCTGTCTACACTGACCTGCCTTGTGTACCATCAACCATTTGTAATACAGATCTTCCTGTATGCTTTGATACCAAACTATCCACATCTTGCTTGATCTTCCTCTACACATCCCCCTTTCATGAGTTCTTTCAAGACATCTTTCTTATGCTTTTTATCTGTCCAATGTGTTCTTCAAATTGTATAAAACAACCCCTTATAATTTTTTCACTGATCAGCCGACTGTCCGTGATTGAGTTCCGTAAATCAGGAATGGCTCTACATAGGCTGGATGTTGATTAGTCTTGAGCACCATACTGGAGTGGGGTTCTTCAACTGTGAAATTTAAGCTGAGGCTAACTGAAAAATTATAGACAAAGCAAGATAAATATAGATTAGCTAACATGAATGGTCTAGATAACTTGTTTCTTGACTTTCCTAAAGTTTTATATTTTAAGTAGTCATGCTGAAGACTGAGAGTTATAGCATCTTAGTGCCCTTGTCTGCCAAGACAGGTCTGGATACAGCTCCAGACAGTGGCAGGATTATTTTTTCCCAATAAGTATGGCTCTGGGATCAAACCCATCTCATAAAATGGCTACCAACCCATTGTAGGATTTTCCTGGGAGGATGATGGGAAAAGGAACCCTCTGCTCCACCTAATGTTATGACTCAGACAAGAGATGGCCTAACACTTTATACCCCATTGTCAGAATCAGATACAGAACTATCTCTACTTTTGTTATGTTCAACACACTCACCTTGCCAGTGGGCACTGTAGATGTGCTGCGGGTAACAAGGTTAGTGCTGACCGAGATTACAACTGAGCTGACTTCTCTGAAAAGTGCTGGCCGTTCTCCCAGCTGAACCACTCCTTCAACTTTCAAAGACAAATGCGTGTCAGCTCGCAGGGGAATGGGCTCCTGATTAGGACTCTGTTGTGGTGATACTGCCAGCTGTGATGGAAGTCACAATCAAGTTCATGGAGAGGACTATGTTGAAAATAAATTCAGTCAATCTAACAAGCAAAATTTACTGGTTACAACATTGACAAAAGGTCTAAAATGGTAGATGATATGAAACCGAACATTTAACTTTTATATGTTACTCCGAAATTCTAAATGTGGCCCTAATACCACCTGCCCAATACCTCTTAACTGCAAATAGATGGGTGGACTTTCATCAAAATCCCAGGGGACCTTGTGTCACCATTTGCTGCTGACTGTCTCATCAGTTCCCTCTACCTCTGCCAGTCAGGTGCACTGGACAATCACCAAGCCAGTAAAACATCATCAGATTTAGCAGTCAACACGGTGCATCTCTGGCACAATTTCAATTTCAAAGCTATGGTGACCATACAACCCAATTTCATTAGGGCAGTCTCGTTTGGCATGCCCTGGCCACCCCACCGGTACTCAAAACAAATAATGCATATTGTCACGTTTTATAAAAAAAATAAGCTTGAAAATAAAACATATATTTATATCTGTACACCTTATTAGAGTTAACAGTTTCAGAAATTTTTAATGAAAACAAAAATAATAGTAACAGTAATAACAATGATAATAAATTCTAAAATATATTTTGTAGTGGGCTGGGGTTAAAGTGACTTGCTTGAGAATCCTGTTTTCAGCTCAAAATATTAGAGGGACGTCCGATTGTCAGTTCAAGATACTATGATTAGCCTAGGCAAAGCCCAACCTTCTCCAGAAGGCCATTTTCTCTATTAGCCTTTGTCCTCATGGTGCACCATGGGAAGGTGGGGTTGGCTGGTGCGATCAGGGAACAGCAGCAGGCTAGTAGTTTTCGCTGCTCCCACCACTGGTGACTTTAGTGCCAGGCATGACCACAGACAGGGTTGACGTTAGTTTCTGAAAAGCTTACTTAGCAACTTTACACAAGTGAATAATTTTTTTTTAAAGCGATGAAGCAAATTCATGATTGTTTACCCATTCATCTGCAGCTTATATCCTCTTGTCAAGCCTGACAACTACAACCTACATACAATATAGATAGTTTTCATTTCATTAATTTTTGTTGTTGTAGCAAGGGCATATCTTATGGCCTGGAGAGAATGAGGCATCGGGGTGTAACCAGAGGGTCTGGCCGGCTCACTACACTCAGGAGAAAGGCAAGACGGACACATAACCAGATTGAGACCAGTACCATGAGTATTGGAACCCTGCGCTGGCTGCTGATAATGAGGACGGAGCATGCATGGGAATGCCCCGAGTGATGTGATGTCAATTCTTGATTAAACTCAATTCGTATCACAATATTTATGAAGAAACCAACAATTGTTCATGATATTTAACCTCAATGGCTAATTACTGAATAGAGTGTAAACTGCATAAATGTTTCTTCTCCCCTTTTCTCTGTTAACTTTTGGGGAAGGTTTAAACATTTCTTATGCTCTTTCTAAGACACTGTGTTGGTTGGTTTAAATTTATCTAGGTTTTTTCTTCTTGATGTCACAAAAATAATCCTAACAACCAAAAACTTCAAGATCACTGCTTACTTATCTTTGTTTTCACACTTCTGATGCTCTAATGTTAAGGTTTTCGTTCCTTTCCCCGTGTTCTCATACCCTGAGATCCTCAATTGCTTCCCCTTGATTACTCAAGGGTGTCCCTTACATCCCTTTACAACATTCTTACAATTGTTTTTGGAACCCTACCATTGTTGCATTTCTACTATGGTTTCATTAGCCAAAACACAGAACAATGTTTATGAGAATAATATGAAAAACAATTACTTTGTCTTCCTCTTCTTCTTCACGTTTACCGGCTGTAAACTTCAGCGGAAAGTTCTGGTTGTTCGTCCACTTATGGACTGCAGTCCTGTTCAGAACCTGAGTATGTTGTGTACATCTGTTTGACGGATCTGACTCATTTTTGTGCAGATTGTTGGTTCCTTGCCTCACAGGCAGATGAATTTCGTCTTTCAAGGAAGCTCCTAATTAGTTGACTCTTACGACATGCTTTTGGGTAGGCAGTGGGTCTATTCTGGTTTTCCCTATAATAGGGCCCTAGAACCCACACAGGGATATTATTACTTTGTGACAATGAAAAGAAAACAGCCAACTTCAGTTAAATACCTTGATAACTGTGTTCTGCAATGTCTGGTAGAAAAACCTCGGGTAACTTGGGGATGCTCTGACAAAACTTGCCACCGACCATGACAGGATGTCCATCAGCTGAAATGTTCAGACATATACAAACAAAGATGTAACTGTAAACAAAATGAACTGCTGGGTCCATCAACTGAAATGTTCTAACATATATACATATAGATGTAATTCTGAACAAAATGAACTGCTGGGTCCATCAACTGAAATGTTCAGACATATATACATACAGATGTAATTGTGAACAAAATGAACTGCTGGGTCCATCAACTGAAATGTTCAGACATATATACATATAGATGTAATTGTGAACAAAATGAACTGCTGGGTCCATCAACTGAAATATTCTTTCATTTATTTATATAGATGTAATTGCAAACAAAATGAACTGCTGGGTCCATCAAGTGAAATGTTCAGACACACACATACATATTTATATAGATGTAATTGCAAACAAAATGAACTGCTGGGTCCATCAACAGAAATGATGTGGCTCAACGACAGGGTTAAACCAATGACTATTTCTACACATGATGATAACAATAATTATCTGTATATAGAACACAAATTATAAAACACTGCTGCTTATTCTAAAATCTGTCTGTGACCTGAAGTTTCTATATTGCTTCTTATGGGTCCTCAATTTATTCACAACCAGTAGCTTTTTTCTTCTTTTAGCACATATTTATTGCACATGTATATAAGACAGGGATGTCAACTAAGTTTACTTGAGGGCCACAATTTTGAAAAGCGAGATCGTCACGGACCAGAAGCATGAGCCCCAGTATAGAAAGATCATTAAAACAATACAACTGGCAATAATACGTGTGTCACGTGCTAGGCCTCGGCGGGCCAGATTTGGCCTGCGGGCCGCTTGTTGAAGAGTCCTGATATAAGGGATATTGTATCCTAATAAACAATCTTCATCATGGTCACTAAAGAGGGATGTAAAGTAGGAAACTGTCAGTGACTGAAACTGAGAATGGCTTTGACATGTGGTTTTGTTTCAGAAAGACAATCAACATCCAACTCTTTGACCTCTGATGGGAGAGACAGAGCATATGTGGGCATGACCTAAGTGCCAAGATGCTTTAATGTAGTTGTAACAAAAAAAGTGGTCTGCTATTTACAGTTCATCAAAACTGTGAATGAAATGAAAGTCATTCAAAAAGAAAAACAGACGCAAAGTGAAGAATTCAGCTGTAAATGAAACCTTATATGAAATAGCTCCTGTGGAACTGTTATCTGGCAACAGTTTGTCCATGGCGGCAGAGATATCCTTCATGACACTGATAACAGAGCTGACCCCTGATGACATGTAGGATTTCATTTCATCTTTTACTGACGTCATAAACTGTCGCTCACCCAGGTTGCTCTTCCTGAAATTAATAAAGTCAGGAATTAGCTGAGGTGACAAAAAGTAATAGTGACATACAAACCATAATTTACAAAACAATACAAGACTTAAGTATGGAGAAAAAACATATTTATAGAAGCAGTTAAATTACTCAAAAGATATTTGGGCTAGTGGATACATACAAATTCTAGAATGTCTTAAGCTGAAAAGAAATTAAACCTAAAAAAATATTTGTAAAAAATGAAAGTTATTTAAAAAATGTATGAAAATGCAAATATCACAAATAATAAAATAACAATGTACTGAAATTTAACAATCTGCTCCCTGCGAAATACAGAGTTACAGTTGGTGCTGACTAGCAAACTGTACTGTCTGCTCACCAGCTTTAAGTATGACTGAGTAGTCAAGAGAGTGGTAAGAGAGGGAGAGAGAAGAAACAGACAGGGGAAATGGAAAAAAAAGAGAGTGAGGACAGGGAGAAAAGAAGAGATTCATGCATGTGTAAACATGCACATAAACACACAAACATCCAACACAGACTGATAGATTAAATTTAGACTCTTTCATGTTTATGGCATTGTGGTGCTGGGGTGTCTGTGGATTACCTCCCTCCCCAGACAGCAGCTAGAAGTGCGCTGTGTCAGTTCTTAGACATTTCCCTTTGACACATAGCTAAAGTGGGGCTCACAGTGTGCTCATTCCCGGCAGATTGCCTGCAGGTTTTGCTGAGCTCTTCTTGGCTATAAGCATGAGTAGTTGGGGCAAATGGATCATCACGTCCCTGTGCCTTCACGATAGTTTCCGGTATTCAGGGGGTTAGCATACTTGTTTCCACTCCTAAGACTGTTCAGCATCCCTCCGGCTCCTTCCCTCCCACAGGGGGCAGTGCGGTGTGGTGCACCAGGTTTTTTATCGAGGTTTGCTCCTCTAGATCCATTGTGTTTTGCCTGGGGATTCACACCCTCGGTTACCAGGACTACCTCGGGGAGGGTGTGGCTCTTTGCCACACACAATGGTCTTGGGGTAAATGAGGTTATGCTAGGTCAAGAGGCTGACACTGCAATGGATGATTCTTTCGTGAATAGATATTCACTAGACCTGGGGTGAAGTAAGGGGGGGGGGGGGGGGGGGGGAAACGACTACCCACAACACCAACACTTCTTACCCCTTGCCTCTCGAGGCTCAGTCCCACTAACTCAAATAAACATACAAGCTCGTGCACAGAGACAGAGAGAGGGAGATGGGGGCAGAAGAGAGATTAGAAAGGGAGGAGACAGAGATATATTAAAACTGAGTACAGTTCAGTAAAAATATGAGATACGTTAACTACTCACCCAGTGTGAATAGTAGAAATAATTGTAGATATGACTGATTTCATGCAGTCACAGCATTGCTGAAGTCTGTTGCTAAGTTAAGGGTTTTTTTGTATGTGGAAAATAAAACATTTGTTACACAGACTATGGTTGAAAGATACAGTTAATTAAATATATCACATTATAACAAAAACAATCTGAATGTAAAAGGTGAAGGCAGGCAAGCAAGCAAAACAAGTGGGAAAGTAACATCAAAAGATGGATGACATTTCTCTATAAGAATGTACAATGACAATAAGAGGCAGGTTGCCGGGGTCCATGGTGCAAATTTAAGGGTGATATCATTTTAAGGAAAAAACTGTTTGGTGCTATTCTAATACAGATTTAGTCTTTTCAAAATCAAATATATACTATTAAAAAGTGTGGGATCAGTGGCAGATTTGTGAAAATAAGAGGGGTCGAAGGGTCTTATCTAATTGAGAAGCACTGGTGTAGAAGGCTCAGTTATAACTATTATGTGCTGAGGTTGTTCCAGTTATTAAATATGGCTAGGCAATATCTGCTCCCACCTAGTACTAAAGTACATCTCTATCATGCGCCCTGTGTTGTAAGGTTCTCCTCTCCCTCTCCATGCTCAGAACCCAGTGCTGATAGTGTACAGCTGCAAACAGGGCAACAAACATTTAACTAGATGATGATTCGGCACAGCATATATGAACTGTCTGGAATTAGACCTAGTTTGGTAAAGTTTCTTGTTGAGGTTTTAGGTATTTTACTGTCACTGGACATAGATTAAAAAAATAATATGTAACGTGTAGGATTTAAAAACGAAAAAAAAAAAAAAAAATTTGTGAATCTATGAATTTGAGAATTCAAATATAACACCAAAAAATTAAACAGATGATAGGGAAAAAACACACATCCTTGACAGATAATTTGCATGAAAGTGCATGGAATCCATTTGTATTTGGGCTTAGATCATAACCTGAAGACTTAAGGTATTTCACAAGAGACAATTCATGTCCTTTCATATGGCCCTGCCATATTCCCCTGTGGGTTTCTGGAGCTACACCCAGGTTTAAAAAAAAAAAATGCCGAATTGACTTGCTGTCCTCAACACATCTGACTTCTGCGGGCATTTGCTGACCGGGTTAGCCTTCTTGGTAAAAGCAGTTAATTAGAGGTATTTTCTCTGAAGCTGGGGTGCATCTGCCTGAGAGATGAGGAACCGAACCAGCGGTTAGCATACAAACAAGCCAGATCAATAAAATGCACGTGCACCTAAAACTTAAGTTCTGGAAAAAGACCAAAGCCGAGAAATGAATGAGCAACAAAAACTCATCCACCAGAGTTTACAGCTGGTGCACACTAAAAAGAAGCATTGCCACAAATAGCAAATTGTATGTGAAACTAACACATGACCTGGGCAGTACTTGACAAATGACTAATATACAGATGACATAACAATGTCAGGAAGTCATGAATATCATTATCCAAATAGGCCATGATATTGAAGCTGTCACAGACCAATTCACAGGCCAAGTCCATTCTAACTATACAGTTGAGGTTGAAGTTTCAGAGCAACTATGATTTCAAACACCTGACACAAGCTTAACAGGAAAATTATGTAATTACAGACAGAAGAAAAAGACAACTATCAGTGATTAAAAGACAAAGAAAAAGACAACTATCAGTGATTAAAAGACAAAGAAAAGACAACTATCAGTGATTAATATTAAAAAAAAAAAAAAGACAACTATCAAAGTAATTAAAAAAGAAAAAAGAAAAACAGCTATCAAAGTAATTAAAAGAGAAAGAAAAAGACAACTATCAAAGTAATTAAAAAAGAAAGAAAAAAACAGCTATCAAAGTAATTAAAAGAGAAAGAAAAAGACAACTATTAAAGTAATTAAAAAAGAAAGAAAAAGACAGCTATCAAAGTAATTAAAAGAGAAAGAAATAGACAACTAACAAAGTAATTCAAAGAGACAGGAAAAAAAAAGACAGCTATCAAAGTAATTGAAAGAGAAAGAAATAGACAACTATCAAAGTAATTCAAAGAGACAGAAAAAAAAGACAACTATCAAAGTAATTCAAAGAGAAAGAAAAAGATAACCATCAAAGTAATTAAAAGAACAGAATCAAAACAATGATGGCTATTCTCATCTTAACCAGCAGCAACAGATCAAACTCTTCCCATCAAGCTGATTCGTAAATACACATACAGGCTTCCACTAATGTGGATTTAGTCAGCAATATGCTTAACATGTTCTGTATGTTTTTTCTTTCTTATTAAACCATGTAAGAAAGATATACTGGCCAACTTAATCAACTAAGGAAAACTCTGTATGGCAGTGAAGAGGAGTTAAAAATAATAATAACTGAGATCATACTGAGAACTAAATTAAGAGTGTAAATATCAAAGGTGTGATTCTACGAAAAGGATTTTTTTTTTTTACTTGAATGGAATAATACAAACATGAGATCAGAGAAATACACTAACTCATTGGTTAATTGTAGTTGTTTACACAATATTTCAAGTAACTGACAAGTTTAAAAAAAAAGGCTGACAAGTTTAAAACAACAAAAAGTACAAATGCAGTATTTTCAAAACACAAAAACTTTAAATGGAGGATACACATTGATGTTCAACAGTGAACCTGGGTCAGCATCAAATGCTGATTTGTACAGTGTTGATGCCAGCAAGCTTGCTTCGTTGTAATCTTTCAGGCACTTTTCTAACTGAGGACAAGTAGCAGACAAGAATGTAATCATGAATACACAATCTCAGACATTATCTTTACTACTAGACTGAGAAAATGGTTTCTAAATCTGCTGTACTCTAAAGCTAACTGGTGCAGTTTCTGTCACATGCTTTGGGCTCATTATGGTGGCTTAGTGACTCACTTTTGCTTGAAGATAAATGTTGGCTCAATTCTAATTTTATCACCTCCATTTAATTCTTTCTTGTATGTTTATCCATTTGGTCTTGTACTCAGAATTATTCCACTTGTGTATGTTAGATCTTCTATAATAAACTTAACTTATTCACTAAGTCCAGATATAGTACACAAGAAAGTTAAGAATGTTTCTCAAACCATTAAAAAATTGTTAAAACAGAAAAGTACTGATGGGCTCTGTTGGAACACAAAGGTAAACAAATCAAATGATAAATTAGTTACTTGCATATTCTCAAAAGGATGTTGCAAACCAATCCCATAATTTGTTGGCTTTCTGTTGTTTTACTAGGCAACTTTACATTCAGTGGTTTGAGGCACTGGACAAAATAAAATCAGGAAGCTATAATGAGTTATTCCCAGTTGCAAAAAACACACAGAATGTTCATGTGTGGCAGCAAAAACCACTCAGAATGTCTATCTTCCTTTGTCAAAAAATTGAAGCGGACCCCAGTCTCAACAAAATCAATAGCATTCACATGGATTAAATGCATAATGCCAGCACACACAATCCACCACTGAGTTTGCTATCCATCGCCGATCAAAGCAGGGACTGTACATGAAATAGTACAATAGGCACCACAGTACTGCGGCAAAAGGCCTGTTAACATTTTCTGAATCTTAGTTCAAAACACAAACCATGTTGGGCACAGCCGTAAAGCACTCAAAATGAAATCCACAGCTTACAGTGTCGCACCATAACTCATCTTAGTAGCTAGGTGATAAACTGTATTTTCAGACCAAAAATTTGATAAAATGCAACAGATAAAAACCGGCCAAAAATAAATAAACTTGCCAAGACTAAAACAGATAGCCTGTCTATCCACCATATTAGACCAGAAGCTAGAAGCACATCAAATCTGAAAAATCCAATGTTTACATCCCAAAACTGTACTGTACAGAACATGGTGTATTTACCTGCTGAGCCACATGTGTCCACCTCAATCCTTCCTGTTCATTGGTTAATGCTAATGCCGTTGAAATGGCAGGAGGAGGTTTGGCACTGAAGGACAAGCAGGACAACAGCAGAAGATGGTGCGCCTCCAGGATGTTTCGACGTAAATTAACATAGGCACACGAGAATTCCAGTGGGTTTGTAGGGGTTCCCGCAGCCTGGAACAACAACAATTAAATCAGCATGTAAATGAGAAAGTACTTTGGTTGTATGTGAGAGAGAAGAGTTAGTGTGAGTGAGAGGGGGCAAATTGCTAAGGCATAAGTTATTTCATCAACAGGAAGTCCTACTACCACTGAGTGCAAAATGTTATATTCACATCTTCAATGAATCATGTACAGGAAGTCCTTGGGGGAAAAAGGAATTAAAATATTGAAGCATGGATACGCCTGAAACACTAAAAAATATAGGAAGAATACTAGTGTTGCATCAGCATGTGGTACTATGCACATATTAGCTACAGACAAATCAGCACTGGATGGCTGATGTGGTCAATATCAGGCTATTCACTTTTACCTCCCATGACAATGCCCATTTTTATCCAAGTTGACCTGGAAATCAAGGTCAATTATATTAAACCAGACTTAATGCAGCTTTGAGACTAAACTTTATAAAATAAAAACAAAAACTGGGAACATTCTGAAATAATCTGGTACATTTTACTACAGATTAAAATACCATACAAGTAAGTACAGCATGATTCTTGATTTTTATGTCAAATACTGACCATTTTAAAATGTGCCAGAAATTAAAAAGCTAAAGTCACTCTGAACTTCTACTGCTGATTTTAGTTCCCTACAGTAAATTCTCAAATCACTGTTCATTGCTTGTTTTTCTCCAAACAAATAACACCCCAAAGTTCACAAGTCAGAGTTCGTAACCAATTTCACTAACATTTGTCGAGGGATTTCAAGGGGGTTTTCAAGGTTTTTGCCTTGTTCAAGGTTGTACCATGCATATGCAGTATATTATTCATGCACACACAGGTAGATATACACGCATGGATACAGTGCTTTTACATCTAGACTTGGTCGCAGAGGGGAGCAAATTGAAAGAAGATCATTAATAACATTGGCGAAGCTGAATGCTTGGTAGTTTCCAAGAAAACTAACAACTCCAATTTGCTTTTTATATATAATGAGAGCTTTAATTGATATGCCCAGAATTGTGGTTGGTGGGCACAATATAAACAATTTACGCTGTGCTGATGACACAGTCTTGATAGCAACAAGTCAGAAACTGGAAATGATAGGCACTGTGGTGATAGTAAGTGGAAGAATGGGCCTCAGTCTGAATAATGGAAAGACAGAAGAAATGGTAGTATCAAAGAAACAAATTATTCCTAAATGAATAATAAAAGTCGATGGTGTTATTTTAGGACAAGTACATAAGTTTAAGTATCTGGGCACATGGACAACATCAGATGGAAGATGCATTACTGAAAGAAGAAACAAAATAGGACAGAAAAAACTGCATTTTATAAAATGCAGAACATCTTATGCAATATATTTTTGTCAAAGTTATAAAAAGAGTTTAAATAATGCGGATACAAACAATACATTGCACAATTTATTACCAGGCATATTTCGCTATATCTCATCAGGTGTGTTACTGCAGAGTTACATCAACATAAAATAAAGCACAAAACTGAATAAATTCAACTGAAATGCGAAAAGTTTCTTCCGATATATTGTGTCTGTTTCATAGCCGCCGGAAGCTCATGAAAGCAAGTGAAATATGCCTGGCAATAAATTGTGCAAAGTATTGTTTGTATCCGCATTATTTAAATTCATTTCGGGAAAACATTGTTTTGAATAAAAAAAAATTCTTGCTTGCTAAATACATCCGGTTTTAACATATGGCTGTGAATCTTGGACAACGGTAGGCAGGCCAAACAATTTATTGAGGCCTCAGAAATGTGGTTTTATAGATAAATGCTTAAAATACATTGGACAGTTAAAAAGAGCAACCAAGAGGTTTTGAAAGAGGCGGGAGCCTGAAGACAACTTATCACAGACATCAGAAGGAGACAGTCATCATTTTTTAGCCTTGTTGTGAGAAGAGGGAAAATAGAACGTGTTGTGACCACTGGAAAGATCTGTGGAAGAAGGGATAGAGGAAGACAACGAGAGAAGATTCTTGACAGCTGTTGCATGGCATGGAGTGCGTCAGCACGCGAACTGATACATGCTGCAGGAGATCACAGATTGTGGAGAGGCATGAAGCCCACGCCAGTCGGTAAGGCACCTGCTGATGATGATGATGGTAAAATTAGTAGGTTACATAGTGATATCTAGAAAGACAAAAACTGACAGAAATGTTGAGAATATGGTACATGCAAAAGAAATAAATGCTGAAATTCTGACAGCTGTAGTTAAGAAAAACTACCAGGAAAAGAAAAATTAATTTGTACAGCAGTAAAGCAACCAAAAACTAAAAGTAGAAAGGTTTAAACAACAGATCAACATCATGGCACAAGGGCAGTAACGTTCATTCCACTAGGCCGGCGTCAGAGTTCCCACTTCAGCACAGTCTCAAGCCACAGACATGTACGCAGGACTTGTCTATATGTAGTACAGGGGACAAGTCTGGAATTCACAAATGCCACTTTATACATATGTAAAGCATTCTACTGCACGAGCCGCAACGTCATTTACGCCATTAACTGCAACAGATGTGGCATGAAATACATTGGTGACATGGGTTCACGAATGGCTGACAGGTTCAGACAACATCTTTTGGATGCGCAGAACGGTTCTCTAAAACCAGTACAGTTGCACTTCAATTCCCAAGATCACCAAGGTGCCCACGACATGGAGGTGACAGTTATCAAGTCTGGCCACTTCAGGGACAGAGTCCGCAAGTCTCTTGAAAATCGCTTTATTTTCACTTTGGGCACTTTAACTCTTTACAGACGTTTAGCCAGTATACTGGTGATTAAGTCTATACCTTAAAGATGTATTGCCAGTATACTGGATCATGATAGAGACACTCTAATTTTGTTCCGTTAGTAGGGAAAAAAACTTTTAGGAACAAGTTTTTAAACAATTAGTATTAACAATAGAAAGTCCTTTTGTTTGCGACAGTCATCGTGGTCGGTGCATTATTTTCTGATTTAAAAAAATTTATTTAGATATGATACAATTTTACGTGATTTTTCTATTCTAAATGATAAGGGAAAAGGTCTAGAACTGTTCATACTGCTCTGTCATTGATGAATTTCTTCCAGATGGTGACAACAGTCTTGATATTATGATTGACAAATCTACTAGCGATAGTTTAGTTTAGGATATAAAAATTTCACAAAATATTTCAATCAGATCAATGTTTCGATCAGCTGTTTTTCCGATTTGCGGTTGTTGTGAAAATTGACATGTCATTCAAAAATGATAACATCCAAAGTATTTAAATTAACTGTTTCAAATAAAGACTAGCTGATACATAATTGAACAGAGAAGGCATGTGCATTCTTAGAATTGGATAGCAGTGTTGCTGAACAAGTTTAAAAAAAAGTATGCCGAAAATTTTTTCATGTCAATAATTATCATAAGTGTCTAACATCCTTGAATGTTGTTATACTGACATTTAAATAGTTTAGATTTATTCTGTACTCATTTATCTTTAATTTGATATATGTCCCAATACAGCCAATACTTTTTCTTCAGGAAGGTTTTAGCTTGTTGTGTTGCAGTAAAATAATATTCCGCTCAAAATTAATGCTGTCCACACCCCAAAAATGTCGTCTTGAAAGAGTTAACACCTAGAGGACTGAACTGCCAACACAGTTAATTCTAAAAATCAAGTCTGAGTTAGTTAAATTGGATTGGATTGGATTGGATTTTTTACCCCACCAGGACATCACACAAGCGATAAACACCCGATGACACAAAGTGCCACCATGCGGATGAGGATCACCGTGGAGAGGTCCCAGAAACCGCGTTCAGACATTTGGCCATAAAGATGACCTGCCTATATTGTGGCCCCTGGCAAAAGCCAGAGTGGGGCTTCAAATAACAAAAAATAACGTCCTAAGAAGGATGAAAATTTATATAATAAGGTATCCCCTATTAAATTGTGAAGCTTGCTGATACACTTTTCATTCGTTTTTGTATCTTTTATTGAGTCCAAAAAAACGCAGTGCACAAACTTCATAGCACTGGCGAGGATCCTGAAATACATTTTGGGCAGATTTTTAAATTTAAACTTTTGTAAAATAAATGGCATACTAATAAATTTTCTACCTTCAAAGTGACATGACTCTTGACATACATTTCCACAGCATCTGCAATACAAGCCACCAGATCCGAGTTGTCTCCCTTCACTTGCTTCAGGTGATTCTCTGCGGCACAAGAGTGTTGCAGTCCCAGAAGCCAGTAGTGCACATGTTCTGTTACTGCCTGTAACATGAAGAAAACTGAAGCTCACAAGAGATTTACATCATAGAGACTATTCTTCAAAGTCTTTCTTTAATCAACAATTTTTATCTGAAGAAGTTTGTGTTGGCTCAAAGGTACACATATTGCAGCTGTGATGCAAAGTGGCAAAAGTAAATACACTCCATTCAACAAATACTGGTAAACAGAATAAAACAAATACAGTATGATAATTTCCATTTTATTAATGATTTTTAATGATCTGGCAGAGGTCATGAAGGCGTAGCACATTTTCATGTTACAAGAACAAAGATAAACCAAGAAGAATATGGAAGAACCATGGATAAGCATATAAAGTACTGGGTAAACAAGTCAATGTCAAAGTTAATGAGATTATAGAGCCATAGGAAAGTGTCTTGTAAGTTCAGAAACCTGCATTTTTTTCTACTCTACAAGATCTGGCCACATTACATAATGAGAAAACATTCATTTACACACAAAAGCTCAGTAATATTCAATTTGTTAAATATGTATGCATATGTTTCTATAGTTTGATGCTTGCCAAATCACTCATGATAAAATAAGATCATTTCGGAAGAAAAGTACCTCATTTCTCTATTTTTAACTTCTCAGTTTCTCATTTCTTCTTGCATCCCACTTCTCACTATCTCTCTCACAAACTTGAAACAAATAAGTTTCAACAACAAAGAAGTTCTACTGGTCTGTGCTAATGTTTTAGAATTGTTTTCTATATCTCAAAACATTGTCAAGAAATGCGTATTTCCCATGTGTGTTTAGGGAATTTACCCAGTGCTTCTTAGCAAGTGTGTCATAAAAGGAAATAAGTTAAGCCCGACACTTCCATGAGGTGCTTAAATTTGACATTGTGGGGAGAAAGGCACAGATATAACAGCAACAACATAAACCACAACACAATGCATTAACTGCCCCTTTGAAGGGAGCATAGAAGAAGAACAGTGTATTTTAAAGAAAGCTACATTCTGAGGTAAAAGACAAAACTGACTTTCAAATGATAGCTTGTCTAAATAATATTTATACAACAAACTAAAAATATGTACCAGCCACTCCACCATGTGGCAAACCACTACTGTAATTAGTGTAATTATGAATATAAACCAATAAACAGCTTACTTTCAGACTGAGTGAGCTCAGGATGTCATATGCCACTTGGTACTGGCAATAGCGCATAGCCTGCCGGGCTACTTTGTAAGCCACCCAGGGACTGGCCCTGCTAATGCAGGCTACAACTTGTCCATGGATTGGTGCACTCATAGGTTTCTGGCAGCCAGCTTGGAAGAGTAGAGTGCACATGTGAACCTGGAAAAAAATCTATAAAGTGAAGGACAGGGACACACAAAGATGCAAGGGACAGACAATGGCTCCCCACCTTCCACCAAACATGTCTACGTACAATTATCAACATTTTCTGGGCAGATACAATCTCAAACACTAAACTACTTCAAGTCACAAACCAAGAAACTCTAGACAGTATAATAACCAAGAGAAGATGGAAATGGCTTGGGCACGTTATGAGTATGAATCCTGATATACCTGCCAAAGCAACTCTCCCAAGGATACAAGAGTGAAAGAGAAAGTAGGGGCGCCACAAAAAAAGATGGAGATGTACGATGGAGAGTGACCTGAATGTGGCATCTCTGACATGGAAAACTGCACTAAAGATTGCATAGGACAGGAAAGCATGGAAAGTCCTCTCAGAAGCCTCATATGCCACTAGACATAAAGAGAATTGATGATGATAATTATCTGAAAGGAACAACAATCTGTATCCATGCAAGATTAATTACTTTTAAGGACTATCTTCAATATACTGAGAAAGTATTCATTTATACCCTATTGTAATGCTTGACATCACACATCAGGTGGCACTAACATCACAGCACCAGTAAAGATCCAACTATGTGTAAACAAGAATCCACAAAAATCCTTTTTGGGGAAGATATTTTTTAAAGGTTCTGATATGTTACTGAGCTGTTACGTTCCACCCATTATGATCTATGTAAGCCTATGTATCAAATAAATGATCTATATTCAGTAATTTTCCTGGTACAGAATAGTGTATAGATAGCAGTTCCATCTGGCTTTACCTGGCACACACACACACACAAACATCAGTTTTTCCTGTCTTTATCTGGCACAGAAATAGATAACATATAGACAGCAGTGTTTCCTGTCTCTGTCTGGCTTTACCTAGTAGAAAAAAAAAAGAGAACATACAGACACCAGTGTTTCCTGTCACCAACTGGCTTTACCTGGTAGAGAAAAAGATAACATACAGACACCAGTGTTTCCTGTCACCAACTGGCTTTATCTGGTACAGAAAAAGATAACATACAGACACCCGTGTTTCCTGTCACCTACTTCTTCTTCTTCACTTCCTCTTTTACCGCTGTGGGTGTCGAGGGAGATATAAGGTTCTGTTTCTAGCTCTTCTGGCTGCCTCAACCATAGGCACATCGTGCTGTTGAAGAGTTTCTCTGATGTTATCCTTCCATCTTGTTCTTGGTCTACCCCGTGCTCTACGTCCTTCTTCTCTTTCCATGTATGCTTTGTATGGTATGGTGTCACAAGGCATTCTCTCTAAGTGGGCAAACCATTTCACTTGCTGTCTCTTTGTATGTAATCCAGAATTGGTTCTGTGCCGACTTGTTCTCTTATGATCTCATTCCTGATCTTATTGTATCTCTTATGGTCACTCCTACAGCCCTTCTCAGACATCTCATTTCCGTGGTTACTAATTTTCTTTTATGGTTTGTTGTGAGTGACCATGTCTGGCACTGGTAGCACAGAGTTGGAATAAATATGCTTTGAATAAGATGTCTCTTTGTGCTGATTGGGATTGTCTTATGCTGTAAGAGGGGGGCTAGCTGTCCCAATACTTGGTTTGCTTTACTGCATCTAATGTCAATTTCTTTATCCAATTTCCCATCTTCGGTAAATGTAGTTCCCAGATATTTAAACTCAGATGCCTGTTTAATGCCTTTGTATTCTATTGCTATGTTTAGATCTGTCTTCTTTTTTCCTATTGACATTACTTCTGTCTTTTCAGTGTTGATTCTCATATTATTTGTTTTACATTCTTCATTCATGGATGTTAGATGTTGTTGCAATTTCATGGCTGTATCTGCTATCAAGGCCTGGTCATCTGCAAAGAGTAATTCGTTGATCTTACTAAGATCTTCATTCATGGGCTTGGCATTCTTGCATATACTGTCGATGTAGGTGATAAACAGCAGTGGTGATAAGACACACCCCTGTCTTACTCCAGATGTCACTGTGAAAGGATGAGATGTTCCCTACACTTCTACAATCCCTGTATAAACTTTTGCACACTTCGATGAGGTGTTCGCTTACTCCATATCTTGCCATTATTTTCCATAATAATTGTCTGTCGACTCTGTCAAATGCCTTCTCCTGGTCTACGAATGCCACAAATAAGTTCTTATTGTATTCAATGTTTTTTTCTATTAACTGTTTAAGTGTGGAGATTGCATCTGTGCAGTTTCTATTTCTCCTAAATCCCATCTGTTCTTCTGCCAGCTGTGGTTCTATCACTGGTCTCAGTCTTGTTTCTATTATCTTGGCATACATTTTGCCAACATGGCTTAAAAGAGAGATGCCTCGATATTGACCGCATTCTCGTTTGCTTCCTTTGTTCTTCCACAATGGTATAACTATTGCATGTTGCCAATCAATAGGGGCCGTTTGTTGTACCCATGCTGCATTGAACATTCTGTGAAGCCATCTGATGCTGCTTTCACCTGCTGCTTGAATTATTTCTGTTGGTAATCTATCAGCTCCTGGTGCTTTATATTTGGGAGACTGTTTAATGACTTTTTCTATTTCATCCATTAGTATGTGTGGTTCTAACACTGTTGCTCTGTGCTCTTCAGTTGTTCTTTCCTGATGATCTCCTAGAGGATTAAAGAGCTCACTGAAGTATTCCCTCCATCTTTCTGCTATCTCAGGTGGATCTATCAATGGCCTTCCTGTCTTATCATTTATTATTTCAGTGGGGTTGTAGCTCTCATCTCTTTTCTGCATATTTTTAACTACTTTGAAAAATTTTCTGCTGGCTGTTTTCTCATTTTCTGCTAGTGGCGCGGTGATTTATGTCACAGGCGTGAGGGGAAGTTAAGTCCAACATGATGTGTATAAGGAGATACTCCGTACGTCACTCGGGCGCCAGTCCTTAAATATCCTGGTTGTATGGAACCTCACGCAAGACCCCGGCAGCACGTCCTCGTCGTGCGCCACGGATAATGTCTCAAATGAGCATTAACAGAGCTGCCAGGGGATCTCGGATTTTGGCGGCCCCCAGAGGTGATGTGTCCTTGTGGCTCTCATCAGCCCGCCCCCAAACGCTTGGGTGAAAAAAATTGTTATCAAAAATCATTAGGAACATGAGTAGGTCTGCCAAACGTACAGCCAAAATTACAACCCTTGGTTAAAAGACTGCGGAATAAAGAGATCATTGTTCACTGCACATCCTCTGTTAACCCTCAGTGTCGTCGTCACCGCGCTGGGGTACACCACAACAGAAACCATCCATAGGCTGGCCATTCATGTACATCCTCGGTTAACCCTCAGTGTCGTCGTCACCGCGCTGGGGTACACCACAACAGCAACCATCCATAAGCTGGCCATTCATGTCCTTGGTAAACCCTCAGTGTCGTCGTCACCGCGCTGTGGTACACCACAACAGCAACCATCCATCGATCGGATGGCTAAGCCTAAATTTCGGACAAAACTAGATCATACGGATCAAAATCTGACCTCAAAATTTGAATTGAACTGAAAAAGACCGAATGCCCACACCCAAAGACACCACTCACCCGAGTGTTGGGACAAAACTGATAACGATATGCCTGATGCAGGATGTAAAATCTGTCGGGCTAACGGCTCGTCAAAGAAATCTAACGTGCGAAGAAAAAAGAATGTACCTATCTGTGTGGTTACAAAAGTCCAAAACCCGCGGGCTGCTCCCCGCTGACCCCCAGAGGGCGCGGCCCCTGTCGAGCGGGAGGCCTGATACGGTTGTGAGGTTAAGCAGGCTTGTGCAGGACGTGACGATTCCTTGGGTGAGCCCAGAAACAGAGCGCCATGTGTCGGCTCTGCATACATGGATGCCTCCTTGGATGGCGGGGAATGCCCAAGATCTGCCCCTGCCTTCCCTTGAGGGCTAACTGTTCCACAGGGGGCCGACCCAAAGGGGTACTCCGGGGGCAATACCTGCGGCAAAGGAGACGAAGTGGACACCACACAAATCAGGCAACGTCTCGACCCACACAAAACAATGGCCACAGTCACCCTAGAAATAGGCCTGACGTCTTCCTTCGAAGTCGGCGTACAGCTGCCCATGAGGCAGGGAAATAAAAAACGGTTGTACACGCAAAAATCAGGTCCAGGTGAAAGCCAAAAGTCCAAGCGGACGATTACCTGACCTTCCACTGGAATTCACAGCCGGTGTTCGATGAAAAAAAAAAAATTTTCTGCTAGTGACTCACCGAAACGTTCCCAGGATGCTTGTTTTGCTTTCTTGACACTCCTGTTGGTTTCTCTCCTTTGCAGTCTATAGTTTATATAATCTTCTTCTTTCTTTGATTTTATCCACTGTTTATATGTCTTTTTTCTTTTTAATTGCTTCTTTTACTTCTTCGCACCACCAAGGTGAATATTTGTTATTTCCCCGTCTGTTTCCACTCTTCCATTTTCCACATAATTCTTCTGCAATACTAAGCATAGTGTTTTTATATATACTCCATTCTTCCTCAATATTGCCAACTACATGTGGAAGTTGTTTGAATGCTGTCTCTGCTTTCTGTTGTAACTGTTCTTTTACTCCTTCCTGTTTCAGATTTGCTATCTTGATGAGATCCTTGTTTGTGTTTAATTTCTTTCTGTGTTTCTTTAATGTAAGATGTTTTGCTGTTAACACAACTATTTTATGGTCAGTGTCACATAGACCATTAGGGATTGCTCTTGAATCAAGAATTCTCCTTCTTCCTTGAACTCTGGTAAGTATAAAGCCAATCTGGCTCTTGATGGAGACATCATTCCATTTGTACCAAGTGTAAAGTTGTGAATCTCTATGGTCAAAGAACGTGTTCGTAATAAAAACATTGTCCTGGCTGCATAGATCCAATATTCTTTGACCATTTCCAGCACTGTTCTTAGCTGCATATGGACCTAAAAACTGTTCGCATTCTCTTCTGTTATTTCCTACCCTCCCGTTGAAGTCACCCATTACATATAGTATGCTGCTTCCCTCAACTTTCTTTATCTCATCAGACAGATCGTCAAAGAATTAATCTTTCTGCTCTTCTGTATAATTATCATTGCATGGTGCATATATCTGTTTATATGTTTCAGCTTGTTCTCCTCTTTTAATTTTCAAAGTAATAATTCTATCTGAGTGATAATGTATGTTACTGTCACCACTGGGCTTTATCTGGTAAAGAAAAAGATAACATACAGACACCCGTGTTTCCTGTCACCAACTGGCTTTATCTGGTACAGAAAAAGATAACATACAGACACCCGTGTTTCCTGTCACCACTAGGCTTTACCTAGTAGAAAAAAAGATAACATACAGAGACCAGTGTTTCCTGTCACCACTGGGATTTATCTGGTACAGAAAAAGATAACATACAGACACCAGTGTTTCCTGTCACCACTGGGCTATATCTGGTAAAGAAAAAGATAAAATACAGACACCAGTGTTTCCTGTCACCAACTGGCTTTACCTGGTAGAGAAAAAGATAACATACAGACACCAGTGTTTCCTGTCACCACTGGGCTTTATCTGGTAGAGAAAAAGATAACATACAGACACCAGTGTTTCCTGTCACCACTAGGCTTTATCTGGTAGAGAAAAAGATAACATACAGCCACCAGTGTTTCCTGTCACCACTGGGATTTATCTGGTACAGAAAAAGATAACATACAGACACCAGTGTTTCCTGTCACCACTGGGCTATATCTGGTAAATAAAAAGATAACATACAGACACCAGTGTTTCCTGTCACCAACTGGCTTTACCTGGTAGAGAAAAAAATAACATACAGACACCAGTGTTTTCTGTCTCTAACTTTACCTAGTACCAACAAGAAAAAGATAACATACAGACACCAGTGTTTCCTGTCACCACTGGGTTTTATCTGGTACAGAAAAAGATAACATACAGACACCAGTGTTTTCTGTCAGGAACTAACTTTACCCAGTACCAACAAGAAAAAGAACATACAAACACCAGTGTTTCCTGTCACCAACTGGCTTTACCTAGTACCGAAAAGAAAAATAACATACAGACACCAGTGTTTCCTGTTCAAACGTGGCTTTACCTGAACTTGTGTGATGTCCCTGGAGCTGTCACTGATGGCTGTTGTCAAGCTGGCCAGGATGTGAGGGGATACAGCATCTAAGGCACTAGGGCATTCAGCACCCACAGCTGCCAAACACTCACATATGTACAGCTGACTTGCTTCTGTTAGGACCGAGAATAGATGACAAGCTTTGAAATTTCTACATTATCTTGTTATTTAAGAAATATACCTAGGTTATAGATAAAAGATACCACGGCTGCCAGTTTGACAGAAGCCTCATCAATGTGTTCTGAGAGCTCTGCTTTTTGAGTTGCGATACTGACATGCAACATGCAGAACACTTAGAAGAGAGACAATTAACTCATACTTTAACTTACTAAGCTACTATCTACTTGTCGCTTCAAGGCATGGCTTCCCTTTCTCCCACATACCAACAACATTCTTGCAATCTCTAAATTCCCTATGAAGTAGACTGCTGATTATTTTACTGTATAATAACAGCTTTAGGTGAAATGCCTGTTAGTAAAGTAAAGAACACTGGCGTATTAGCAATACAGTGCTAGACCTTTATTTAATGACCAACTCTGCGGGTTATGTGGCCGATGACCAACTCTGTGGGTTATGTGGCCAATGACCAACTCTGTGGGTTATGTGGCCAATGACCAACTCTGTGGGTTATGTGGCCAATGACCAACTCTGTGGGTTATGTGGCCAATGACCAACTCTGCGGGTTATGTGGCCAATGACCAACTCTGTGGGTTATGTGGCCAATGACCAACTCTGTGGGTTATGTGGCCAATGACCAACTCTGTGGGTTATGTGGCCAATGACCAACTCTGTGGGTTATGTGGCCAATGACCAACTCTGTGGGTTATGTGGCCAATGACCAACTCTGTGGGTTATGTGGCCAATGACCAACTCTGTGGGTTATGTGGCCAATGACCAACTCTGTGGGTTATGTGGCCAATGACCAACTCTGTGGGTTATGTGGCCAATGACCAACTCTGTGGGTTATGTGGCCAATGACCAACTCTGTGGGTTATGTGGCCAATGACCAACTCTGTGGGTTATGTGGCCAATGACCAACTCTGTGGGTTATGTGGCCAATGACCAACTCTGTGGGTTATGTGGCCAATGACCAACTCTGTGGGTTATGTGGCCAATGACCAACTCTGTGGGTTATGTGGCCAATGACCAACTCTGTGGGTTATGTGGCCAATGACCAACTCTGTGGGTTATGTGGCCAATGACCAACTCTGTGGGTTATGTGGCCAATGACCAACTCTGTGGGTTATGTGGCCAATGACCAACTCTGTGGGTTATGTGGCCAATGACCAACTCTGTGGGTTATGTGGCCAATGACCAACTCTGTGGGTTATGTGGCCAATGACCAACTCTGTGGGTTATGTGGCCAATGACCAACTCTGTGGGTTATGTGGCCAATGACCAACTCTGTGGGTTATGTGGCCAATGACCAACTCTGTGGGTTATGCGGCCAACATCACACTGGCTATTTTTACTTACCATGACGTTCCTGGTACTCATTTTAGGCTGGGTCAAACTGGGAGCCAAAGTCATTTTTTGAAAAAAAAAAAAAAATCTGACTTGTTGATTTGGACCCAAAACCTTGGGCCCGCAGGCCTAGTGGCTATGCCAGGACAATTACCAATGCCTTTAGATACAACATCATAATTTAGCAGTAGCCCCTGCAACTACAAGTCTAGGAGTGAATTCCAGCGAAACCTCTGACTGCTATAGATTTGGCATATCAAGACTGCTGATGTTTAAACATAAAACTAAGCAGAAGCCATTAAGGCCAACATAAACACATCAATGGAATTGCTACACAGGTTATTTAGTAAAGTCTGCGAGACCAAAGAAATACCAGCAGACTGGAGTGAAGGATATCTTGTGAAACTGCCCCCCCCCCACCCCCACAAAAGGACACATACAGGAGATGAGAACTATAGAGGAATTATGTTGCTGTCAGTTCTGGTAAAATATTAAGTAGGATTATTTTGGAAAGACTGATAAAACACTAGCGCAGAACGCAAAAGATGAATGTATATGTATGTTACTAAAAGAAAGAAAAAAGAACCAAAAAAAAAAAAAATTAATAAATGAAGAACAGAAAGAAAGAAAAAAGGAAAGACAAAGAAGAAATATGTTTCAGATAAAGGTAAATATCTGTAATAAACAGATGTCTGTAACAAACAATTACTGAGAAAGCTGATATCATAAGCAAAATACCCATACTGTTGAAGTCATAAATGATTATATTAACGGACAAAACTTATGTGAAAGAAGACGGCTCACACAAAAAAAAGAGTATACCGCTGCTGTGCCAATTAAAAAACAATACTATTTTATTAGCTGTATAATGGACGCTGTTAATGGCAATCTGACAAATACCATGGACTCTTTTATCATAATGTCACATTTTGCATGATCTACTATTATTTGTAACACAGATATATAAATTACTTTTTAAGGGCCCTATTACCAAATGAAATGATTTGTGTGTGTGTGGATAGGTGACATCAATAGCAACCTTAAAACCAATTAAAAAAAAAAGCACAAACAGGTAAAGTATATGAGTTATTTATACTATAGTGTTGAGGAAATCTTTCTCCTCCTAAAACAATGCCACGAAGAAAGAAAATAACCTTACTGGCATATAGTACCACACTTATATTTTTTTTAAACATATCAAATGGTTTTCAATGTGTGATGTGGTAAAATAACGCCCACAGCCTATACTTACCAGGACATTTCCTTGCACCCATTTCAGACTGGCTGACCTTGAATCCCAGGTCTTGGCATGGTGACTTTGGTCGCAGGCACAAGGGAAAGTTAATGCCATTGTGATATTGTAATGATGAGATTGCCCAAAGGGCCTCCTAAATGATGGGGTAGGGACAATGGTCAGTCAAGTGAGTAGAACCCAAAAAGGGAACGCTCGCAAACTGCTGTGTTTAACTGAACTGCTGAAATGTGACCACTCGTGGAAACGAGAGAAAGATCTGAAAGTGAGATAGATCAAGTTAGTTGGTGTTTAACAGATAGAGCAAAAGGTCCAGTTCTGTGAGAGGTATGACTGCTATGAAGTACAACTGATGACAGAGTGAAGAAGTTATGATTCCTGAGGATGAATGCTCGAGGAGAAGCTATTTTGAATACTACCCTGAACAACTGAGAAGATGCAAGTCCTTCACAAGAATGGAACTACTGTAATGCAAGGTAATAACAGTCTGAAGACAGTGCGAGTGTAATGTCATCACTGACGACTGAATCTAGTACAATGAGTGAGAATAGAAAACAGCCTCTATATGATACTGCTATCGGAACTACAATAAAGAGAAAAAACTGTCAACTGGTGATGTGTTAATACATGTATGTCTTCACCATCTGAATGAGAAGACATCCCTAACTTCTAGGTGTCAAACTAGAACATAAAGAAAGAAAAACATCGCAGATATGTATAAGGAGATAGTAAGTAAGTCACTCTGGGTGCCAGCTGGCTTTGTACTGGTTTTACAGATCCTCAAGCAAGACTCCTGCCTCACGTCCCTGTCGCTAGCTTTGGGCAATATCTTGCATGAGGATAAACCGAGCTGGCAAGGGATCTCAAAGTTGGTGGCTCCCAAAGATGCAGTGCCTAGAAATTCTCTTGCTCTCATCAGTCCACCCCCAATGCATGGGTGAAACATCTGTCAAAAACACATTTGGAACAAGAGTTTGGCTAAATATCTGACTATATGACACACCTTGGTTCAAATGTCTGTCAAGGTCCTACTGCTTAGGCTGAAAGCCCGTCAGTCAGATGTTGGTGTGTCATTATCAGATCAGCAGCCACCTCATTGTGAACTGTTGAGACCTAGCCCTAAAACAAGAGATTTGCTTGCAGTTTAGACGAGCAACATACTCCTATGGACTGTATCTCATAGTTCTGTTGGCAAAAATTCAGATGTTCAACCATCGAATGGCTTTCTGTGTGAGAGGCAAGGTTCAGAATTACAACCATAAAAAATCCCACTGTGTGACACACAAGGTGCAAACGTCGGCTACCAATAGTCCCAGTCATCATAGTGCCAGGACCAAATTGGGAACCCATGCCATATGCATGCTTTTCCAATACTGTTCTTCTAAGTGTCCTGACGCAACAAAATTGAAAGTGTCTACCGTGTAGAAGTAGAGTGTGCCCATCAAAACTATGGACCTGTTGGTTGCTCCCTGTTGATCTGCAAAGGGTCCATCCGTGATGAGTTGGAAGCTCAACACACAGTTGAGAGGTTAAGCAGCCATGTGCAGGATGTGACTATTCCTTGAGTGAGCCCAGTACCAGAGTGTCATGTGTCAGCTCTTCATTTGGGAAGCCCCCTTAGATGATGGGGAATGCCCATGATCTGCCTCTGCCTTCCCTTGAGGGCCACCCAGTCTAAATGTGGGTGCCTTAGATGGATTCTCTATAGACAACACCTGTAGATAAAGGGACAAAGAGGATACCACACAAATGAGGCTCATCATGTCCCACAAAACCAACCAGGAAGGTTAACCCAATGATAAAATGCCTGATGAAGCTGGATGTGTCGACCGAACATGACAAATACTGCATCTATGCTGTAAACAGGCACAACACAATTAGACCACTCAGATGAGCAAAAAAAAAAGAAGAATCTCAGGTCAATTAGTAAAGACCACCTCGATGCAGAATCAAACCTAAGATCTCCAAATTGTATGCAAGTGTCTGCACTGTCATGGCTCCCAGCAAGGTAAATTCTTGTTCACTTATGTTTATTCTGTGTTTACAAAATAAAAAACAAATTTAATTAATAAAAATAAGCATCTGAATGCCAACTTTACCTTCAGACAAGCCTATAAGATTGGTCAAAGTCTGCACAATCATATCACTGACATCTGTACAGCCTTTGCAGATCTCTACAGCACAACGTAGGATCATTTTTAGATAGGTCAAGTGCTTCTCTTCCGTGCTGCCGGCCTGCAGCAAGATGTGAGCCTGGATGGCCCCAACTGCTTCAGGTGTTAAATTACATGGGACACCTGCACGTGGTAGTTTGTAAAAAAATAATTTAAAAAAACACACACACAAAAACAGAAGAATGAACATAAGAAGCAATGCAAACTAGTTCTAACATTTTCTAAAAATTCAGGGCAATCAAAGCAATGCACTTTAGTAAAAAAACAACAACATGGTCAGCTAACACTTAGTGGGCCAGGGACATTTTTATCTATCAGGGATAACACACACAAAAACCTACCCATACATGGCATGGGGACCGCTCTAGCAATCAGCCTTCATTCCACAGCCCTTCAAACCTTACACCAGAAATGATGCAAAACGTAATTTTAAAAAACTTTTAAATCTGAAAAATACATTGCATCTTTCCTGCTTAAAAAACATCCAGAATCATATTTTTATATGAATGAGCACTTGAACAATGTGGAGGCACAAATAGTTGGAAGAGAATGGTACCACTAGAAGTGACCAGAGAATCTGTTATACTTTCTATATTCAAAGGAAAGGCAACATGGACACATAATCAAACGCCACTGGCACGATCAGAATTTGAACTCTTCACAGGCTGCTGTAGATGAGGACAGAGCACTAGTGGGATTGTCCCACTGTAGATGAGGACAGAGCACTAGTGGGATTGTCCCAAGTGTTGTGATGTCAGTTCTAAGCTCAACATTCAATATCAATTAAGACATTTTAGACAGTTATTTTTCGGACAAAATGAAAGAGTTCTGAAATTCTTGTGTGCGTGTGTGTGAGAGAGAGAGAGAGAGAGAGAGAGAGACAGAGCGTGAGGCAAAATTGGAGTTCAATACAAGAGGAATGCAATATGTTCAAAGTTCTATAAATTACGTTTAAAAAAAAAATATATTTTGAAGAAGAAGAGGTGGAGGAGGAAGAATAAACTGAAGTAGAAAAGAAACTTACATTTAAACTTTGATAAGTTAGTCAACAACTGAACAGCTTGGGTAGCCAATTCTGTGTTTGGATGGTAGCAAAATTCTCTACATACTTCCAGCACCGCAGTATCTGTGCAAAGTATAAAACAATTATTGTTATCCTTTCAGATGACCATCTCATCAGGGCAAGGATAAGATCCACCACATAAACAGCTACCATTTGCAAATCGTCGGTGACAATCCGACAGTCTGGAGGGGAGGGACTACAAGGCCACTTTAACAGGCTAAATTCAACACGCAGAAGATATGAAAATAAACTGAGAAAGAATCTCATTGAATGCAGTCACAACATGAAATACATTCAACATCCACAGGGAATGACAACTGCCAGTGCTACCCATGAGGCTAAATGGCAAACATGGAAGCTGATAATAATGATGACCTCACATGTAGATAACCCCCTGGGAACCTGAAGAACTTTAGTAGCAAATTATCGTAGCAAGACCTTAGAATGGTAGAGGGCTCATTGCAGTGAAAAGACACTAGTATAGTGATTAGAAAGCATTATCATCACAGCACTCCGGACAGATCCATAGGTGCTCTGGTCTCCACCTCAAAAGCTCCACAAGTGTAGAATCTGTGGAGCAAGTGAAGAAGATGTCAGCTCAAACGCACGCACTCAGTCGCGTAAGCTGAAATCCTGAACCTACATTTTCACATGTGGCTGGTCGCAGAGGTCGTCAATGTTGTTGCTAAGGCTGCCATGACGTCGATCCGCAGCACACACATCGAAAACACACTAAAAAAGCAGCGCATAATCGCAATACAGGCCTTGAACAAATATCTTGCACTGTAAAACATTTCTGTGCTGCCTTTGAGTCAATATTTCAGTATGGTCCAAGTGAAATAGGCCGGATAAAAAGTGAAATCATGGCACATAAACATAAACACAACATGTCGCCATGTTGGAAAATGGAAGGCACTAGTATGTTGTTGCTGAATTACCCTGAGTTGTTGACTGTTCTTGGGTGATCCAGGGGTCTACAATGAAATGTGGTTCAGCCAGTTTGCCAGTGTGCTCTGAAGGTTTGTGGGTTCAATATCTGACACAGAAGAAGAATTAGGTTGAGCTATGTAAACTGCCTTGAATAGCTTGAATAAAATCTGGGTGAGCCATCTTTCAGAGTTTGACAGCTGTTCTCGTTTCTCCTTTAGATGGATATGACAACTGATATCCAACTTCTGCAAGCTGGAAATTTGTCTTTTCTTCTTTCTTTCTTTTGTTGTCTTACTAATACCAGGTTGTAGCTTTCTGTTTTTGTCTCACACTTTTCGGGCGGCTTGGGTGATGGATTGGTTCATCTTTTTGCAGATTTCTGCTACACAATTTATCCATCTCTTTTCTGGTCTTCCTTTCATCTTTCTCCCAGATGTTCTGCTGTGAAAAGTCGTAAATGCAGTTTGGTTTGGTTGTATTCTCACTAGACGAGTGAACCATTTGATTCTTTGTCTGTCAATATAATCCTAGACATGGCCTTATTTCAATGTTCTCTCTAATGCTGGTATTTGTAACCCTGTCTCTTCTTGTGTTCTTAGTGAATTTGTGGAGACAGCAAATTTCACATGTAGTTATTTTTAGTTTTACTGCTCTATTCATTGTCCATGTCTGGCATTAATAACATAAAGTAGGGATAAAGATGCTATGAATCATTTGCTGTTTTATTAGAGGGGAGACATTTGGGTGTCTAAGCAGTGGGGCTAACTGGTAAGTGACAGCATTTGCCTTCTGTACTCTGGCTTTTATCTTTCTGGCTAACTGGTAAGTGACAGCATTTGCCTTCTTCCGTGGCTTTTATCTTTCTATCAAGTCTGCCATCTTCTGTAATATTTCTTGTGTAGCAGCAATCAGTTACACCACTGCCGGCTTCCTAGGCCAAGCGCTTGGTAGGTTAAAAAAAAATATGACCTAGCTGGTGCTCGTCTCTTTCCAGACAAGCCACTGCACCTTAAGCCTGAAACCTTGCAGTTTCAGTTTTCTGACGTGCAACACAAGGAATTGGGGTTGACCTGGGTGCTCTAAGGGTCACTGGCAGGCTCCTTAAATTTCACTTTTCACCCTCCAAAAAGAAGTCAGCCAACCTGAACAATGCTGGCTGTAGTGATAAGCACCTGAGCATACCCTTTACCCACTTTTATCTGGTTTCTAATGTCTTTATTTGCTTCTGTATATTTTCCTAACTTTATTAGCTTTTGTTTTACAATTGTGAATAATTTTTCATTTCTTTTATCGATGAGTCGACGATCCAAGAACTGACAGCACAGCACTTAAGATGTCTCCATCTTCAGCAGAAGCGCAGAATTCAATTCCAGTGGTACAAGCAGTCTGATTGGCATAAAAAAAACAACAACCCTTAATTGAAACCTGTGAATAAGCGATCAAAAAACTTGAAGATTATATGAGAACAACCTTGACTTAAACAATAAAATACCAGAGGGTTTTTGAAACTTCTTAAAAAAAGGGGGTACAAAAACAATGCAAAAACCTAACTGTTTCCTATGTGTGAAGAGTAACTGAACTCACCTGGTGGCAAAGAGATGAGGGTGACTGCCACACTGCCACAAACTGCATTCAGGACACAAACTGCCTTCACTTTTAAGACCAATGATGATGTTTGAAATGTAAACTTAGCTATGTCCTGGAAATAAAGGAGTCCCATATTCTGCTGAAAAATCATGTCAGTGTGACTGTATACAAATAAATTTAACCCTTTGGAGACAGCTTGGTTGATCTATCAGCCCTATAGAATACAAGCCTTAAGATTTCGTACCAGCCAATCAGATCACAGCCTTCTTGCATTTCTTGAATACGTGGGCTGTTCAATGACTGCTTTTGAGAAAGTTTGATGGGTTCTGTGATTTTACACATTTTTGTGGGGTTAGTGTGCCCAACAATGGTGAAAAGGACTGTTGCATCACAGCAACCAAAATATAGTAGGAGGCAGGAAAAGGAGAAGAACCATGTGCCAGGGAGCCTAAATGGGTCTTACTTCACAAAATACAAGTGTTAGAACTTATTGAGGCTTCATTCATTAGAAAATTTTGCCAAACTGTTTAATATAGTCATCTTTGTCCTAAGTAATTGAAATAAATGCATACATAAATATGCAAATCTGACAGCTTATTTGAAAAAATACTGAGATGTCAGTGTGATTCATAATGAATGTGTTAGTTCATCAAATTTTCTATATGTATATATAAAGTCTTATATATGTAAATTAAATGCCTTATTTTTTTATCATTTTGTGTGTGTGTAGACTAAGAGAAGTCAGTGTCTGTGGCTTAGGCATTGTGAGTGTCTGTGGCTTAGGCATTGCGAATGAGGCTTCGTAATGCCGGGGCGCTGGGTTCGACCCCAGCTGTGGGTTTTGTGCCTTATGCTGGTTTTGATAGTGGCATCAAGAAGCCAATTGTCCAGACAGCAATGGAAAACTACTGGAAGTAAACTTGCCTAAAAAAAAAAAAAACCACAACAGCCAAAAAATGCTGGGGTTGGTTCTGCAACATCCTGTAAAGAAAACACAACTAACTTATTTTAAACTAAAAGAATCCTCGCCTGGCACTGAAACTCTAAAAAAGGCTCCTTCTCCAAAGGGTTAATATACAAGTAAAGCATAAGCATTATTTTTTATTTTTATAGTGTAATATATTAGGAAATGTAGGGACAGGAATGTTGAATTAAAAATATATAATCAACACTCATTATCATCATGTAGCAGGTCCTTTGCAGAACATCACTCTCATCACAGTCTGCTTGAAAGAAACTCGGTATCTCACCAGTTCTCCGGCCTCATTTACTTTCATACTCAATAATCAACTCATGATCAACACTATAATTAAAAAAAAATATTTTAAATCAAACAACACTTTCGTCTTCTTCTGCTCTTTATATACCAGTGTAGCAAAGGCCCTTAATAATTTCACGCCAAGCCACGATATCTATCAACTTCTTGTGCCCTTAACCATTTCATGCCAAGCCACCATAACTATCGACTTCTTGTGAAGCTCACTCTATGTCCTATTAATCTTATTATACGCCAATTCTGGAGATTCTCCTAGGTAAAAGAAGGTAGATCGGTAATCTTGATCCATTTTGGCCTTTTCTCTATAGCTCAATATGTTTTATAGGAGAAAAGCTGGCTTGCTTTTGCAGCTGTATTTTTTTTTTTAAACAGGTCAAAGTAGCCAACATGAAGCCAGCCATTCTGTTAGTCACTTTTTTTTTTTACTTGCCTGGTAGGGTGCATAGTGTTTCTATTCTTAGCTACCTCTAGGTACCCCAGTAACTTGTGGGTGAACTGAACATTCAAAACTAATGGACATTATTGGTTAAAACACAATTGTTGTAAAAAATAAATAAATAAACAAATAATAAATAAAAGGGAGTATTTACCTCAAGGTTCTGTGAGGTCCACAAGTATGCTGCTCTCAAAGCTATTTGCCTGAGATTATCCAAGCAGACAGCCTTGACACTGCTCCGGGGGTCAGAGGTCAAATATGTCAGTAATCGTGTGACATGGTCTTGTATATTTAGGAGAGATTTGATAGTCAACTGTGTCATTGTGCACAGAGTCAGCATGACAAATTTCCCTGCTGGGAAACTGGTCAATAAAGACTGGCACAAATCCATTGCCTGCAGTATAGAAGAAAAAAAAAGTTTTAGGCAGCAGTAAAGATACAGTTGTAGGTAAAATAAATAGTGTACATGAGGAAATAATTAGTTGTGCAAACAGCTAAGGCAACAGCTCTAAGACTGCAGTGGATGGCATGCTGACTCAATGCCAAACTGTTCAAAGTCCTTAATCCCTATCAATTTTAAAAATGACCCTGACTTCCAGTCTGACACAGCATAACAGTGAGTACCAGGAAATGTTCTGGGAAGTAAAGACATCTGGTGTAATACTGACTATACCACCAACTAAATGTCAACTGGCCTATACAAAATATGGGCATATATGATGAAAGCAAAAGTAATTATAAGATTATAATATATTATTATGAGTGAAAGACTGCTCGTGCAGTTATTCATATTTTATTCTATAGCTCTTATTAACTCTTCCAGTTACTGGAAACTCACCATAAATATCTTGATAAATGTGTACATAGTATACATATATAAATTCCATCTGTCCAATTTTTTATTTACTCTGTCCTAAAGCTCTGATGTTCCATTCATTTAGACTTACATGCTGTTACCCTAAAGTAAAAACCCTGAAGAATAGAAGGTCATAAATAAAAAGTGTCTGCGGGTGAATAAGTTAATAAATTCCCTTGTCGGCAAACCTGAAAATGGCAAGCTTCAGGGACGCAAACTACTATAAGTTACTAATACTTCAGATGCTGATGTTGGGGGATGTAATTCATTGTTTGTGTAAGTTCACATAATAATTTTCTTTAATATAGTTTCAGATTAGGGTTAGTGTTAGCCCTAACCCTAACCTGCAATATTAAATATTAATGAACATTCTTATGTAAATGTAAATAAACAACAGATTGCATCCCAAAAGTCATAGTTTTCAGTTTTTCCTCCCTCTCTAGCCTTTGCATGCAGCAATGTCACAAGTGTAATCCACTATTAAGCAATGAATATTTATTAGTCTGGAAGATACATCAAGACTAAATTCAAATTATTCTAAAGGTTTTCGAGAAAAAACCCAGAGGATTACAATAAAGGAAGAGAATGAAAGTATACAGTAAAGACATTAGAAAACAAACAAGGAACATCAAACAACCTTCGTAGCCGTTTCAGTATCATGATGCATGTGTTGAAGTATTGGAATAAGCTTCAGTTTCATTTCAGAAGGTGTTGCCAATCCAGCAATCATAACACCAATTTTGCTACACACATTAGCAGCAAATGTTCTGGAAATAAACAAATACAACTAATCAACCTCATTTTTTTTCTAAATAATAAAATTAACACGCAAACAAAAAGTCCAATATTTTCAGTATTGCTATGGCATCAATATTTTCATTCCTTGCAGTATCTAAATAGAAATGGAAAACATTCTTGTTACTGGGTACATTTCTGAAGTTAGACATGAAGCAAACAATTGTCAAGTTTGTAATTACTAAAACTATACACCTTAAGATACAGTTGTTTGTTATAGTTCTGTAAATTATATATGTGAATAAAGAAGACACAAACAATAGACTGCACAATTTATTGCCTGGCATATTTCGCTGTATCTCGTCAGGTGCATACTACAGTAACAATTAATTAAAATAAAGCAAATAGCTGAATCCTAGAAACTGAAACACAAATTCGAGTACATTTCAAACTGTTTCACCAAGGTAAGCGTAGGGAAACGACCATTTCTTTTTGCCTACATAGATCCGGTTTCAATCTGCCAATCGCGGAAGCCGAATTGTAAATAATTCGAAATGCATCATCCCTGTTAATAATGTGCCCAGAATTTAGAATATGGCACGCAACTGCTGATGATGGATTATTTCGACCAGTCACCTGATTCGTTGTTGTTGAGGTGTTAGTGTTCTGCATTGCTTTTACCACCCATAGTGGAATATGTTCAGCAACCCGTTGCTCCAGTCGTCGATCAGTTCTGCCCACATATGCAGCGTTACAGGCGCATTTAAATTGGTATATACAGTTAGATCTATGGATATCCAGGTGGCTTTATTAAGTGCCATTGCCAGCCGCCTAAACCAGTTACCTTAGAAATGCCGGTGCCCCAAAAAAAAACTAGCCTATATACACCTAACGTTTCTGGGAGACGACATCATGCAACGTATATATGACTGACTCAAAACAGCAGTCGGTCAAAAATTTTGTGCAGCCATGCCTGTTATGAGATTTAAAACCACCATGATTCCTACACCACCTGTAAAAGAACCAGTGTCGACGTACGCCAGATCTAACTGTATACCAATTTAAATGCACCTGTAACGCTGCATATGTGGGCAGAACTGATCGACGACTGGAGCAACGGGTTGCTGAACACATTCCACTATAAGTGGTAAAAGCAATGCAGAACACTAACACCTCAACAACAATGAATCAGGTGACTGGTCGAAATAATCCATTATCAGTAATTGCGCGCCATATTCTAAATTCTGGGCACATCATTAACAGGGATGATGCATTTTGAATTATTTACAATTCGGCTAACCGTAGATTACTTCGATAGGCGGAAGCTTCCGCGATTGGCAGATTGAAACCGGATCTATGTAGGCAAAAAGAAATGGTCGTTTCCCTACGCCTACCTTGGTGAAACAGTTTGAAATGTACTCGAATTTGTGTTTCAGTTTCTAGGATTCAGCTATTTGCTTCATTTTAATTAATTATTACTGTAGTATGCACCTGACAAGATACAGCGAAATATGCCAGGCAATAAATTGTGCAGTCTATTGTTTGTGTCTTCTTTGTTCAAATTCACATCGGGGAAACATTGCTTTAATTATATATGTCCCTGTTCCTACTTAGTAAATTCTCTCACATATTTACAGCAAGAAACACTATTAAGACAATGTGGCTTTGAGAAACAATGTCCCAGTGAATGTATGCAGAATCAGAAAATTTTAGGATTTAAACCAAAAGAATTAAAAAAAAAAATTTAACCAGAAAATGACAACTCAGAATGGTTAAGGGCTTGAGAGAAAATTAAGATATCAAACATGTTCTTTCCAAGACACAAGGAAGAAGAAAATATATTATGCAGAGTGATTTACTGACTATACTGTCTTAGAACAGTTATTTGGATCCCTTCAGACAGGCAAACGGTGAAGAATGGAGAGAGAAGCAACAGGAAATTAATTACCTCTATAAATCAATGCTAAATTCAGGGCATCATGGTGGCTAATAAATTTTGAGCAACACGGCAGTCAGAAAGAAGGGCAGATAACAGACAAAAACTGTATACAAATGAGTTAAATGGAAACAGACCACAAGGCAGACTAAGAAGATAATGGAGAGATAATCTGTATGCAGACCTACAAACGTTTGGAGTCACCAATTGGAAAAAGAAGATGAATCAGAGATATGGAGGGAAACAGCTGATATTTGCAGTAATGAACCTCTAAGGCTTAGAATGCTGAAGAAGAAGACATGCACAATTTATCAATCTGTTACCCATAAACATTAATACTGTTGCCATAACAATTTTCAAATGTCAAAATGCCAAATACTATCGCCACATAGAATCACTAAAAATAAAAAAGCCAAGATAGGAAGAAAAAACCCACAAGCAACAGTGAGAGAATGAAACTAATCGTTCCTGTACTTACTTAGATTTTTCACAGAACTTTTCAGCAGCAAAAATAGCAGCCTCTACTTCGACTGCGTTGTGTGAATCCAGACAGAGTATGACACTGTGATGAACATTCTGTTTCTCAGAGATGATGCTGGCAACACTGCCTAGAGTCCTGCATGAGGTCAAGGATGATGATTTCAGTGTTACAAAATAAAAAAAATATGACAAGTGAGAACTAATCAGTACTGACCACTTAAGACTGGGAGCCTTGGCAACACACAGGCTAAATGTTTGCTTACCAGTCTGAAGGGTCTTGGTTTGAATCTCAACTGTAGCAGATTTGTTCATAAATGACTTAAGCTAACAGGCTGACCAATCTTTAGATGGGCAATTAAAAAAGGTGATTAAGAGTAATACTGACCAGATCAACATTCAAGTGCCGAAGGATTTATTAAAAAGATGGGTCTAGCATCATATAGTCAATGTCTCAAGGGTATCTGAAGGGAGTCTTTTACTTACATAAAGACTAGTACATACTCACCACAACCACTAAAAAGGAATGACACAAAACCAGAAGCAGGACCCAATTTAACCATAAAGTTGTAAACATATATACATTAAAACTACAAACTGCAACAGCAGTCTGTTGCATGTAGAAGAAATAATAATATGGTGTTCAGCAATATGTGAATGATGACCAAATGCATAAAAGTGAATAGACTGCTTAACCGTAGCGATGTGATTTTGGTCAATAGGGAAAAGGCTGCCGTGCTGAGTATAAGAAGATACTCCATATCTTATTTCTGGTGTCTGCAGGTTCTGTTCTGGTTTTACAGATACGCACGCAAGACTTCTGCCATACTTCCTTGTCATGTGACATGGATAATGGTCTATTTTGGCCTAAACATCGCAGGCATGTGATCTCAGAGTGGTGGCACCCAGAAATGTGGTGACCAGTAATCCTCTGGCTCTAATCAGACCCCCCCCCCCCCCCCCCCCCCGGTTATAACAATCATCTATAAATCAGCTGGAACAACAGTAAAGTCTGCTGGCCGAGTTTCTTATTAAATGACAAACTACTTCAAATGTCTATTGCCTGAGAGTCATACTATATGAAACATCTGTTGATTGAGAGATGACAGAAGATTCTATGTTATGACACAGGTTAAAATGTCTGCCACCAACGGCCACACTCATCAAAGTGCAATCACCATGTACCCAAGTCATGCCAGATGCATGTTTTTTTCAAGAATGCAGCACAAACTGTTCCGGTGCATCTATGTGAAAGATGCCACTGGCAAAGAGACAAGTCTCACATGCTCAGGAAAGTTAGATGCAAAGTTTGTGATGGTGATCGAAGTTCAGGGTCTGCGGATGTGAGGTTCAGCAGTCATGTGCAGGACATGATGATTCCTTGGGTCAGCCGACGTCAGAATGACATGTATCAGCTTTGTTCACTTATGGCAGCCTCCTTGGATGGCAGAGAATGCCCATGTTCTGCCACTGTCATCTCCCGGGAGCCACCAGTATGTCAACAGCCGTCCTAGACATTTCCTCTAAGGGACTTGCCTGTGGATAAGGGAATGATGAAGCCACAGCACAAACAAGGCTGTAAAATGTCCCACAATGACAAAAAAAAATTGTCTGAAACAATTTGATGTGTTGGTAGAAAGGCACATGTATCGCAGCTATGTTGTAAACAGCCACAGCACACTGGCATAACTCAGGTGAACCATGAAGTGGAGGAAGAACACTTACCTCAGAGTTATTGCTCTTGCCACTGGATCATTACTATGGATAACTCCAAAAATTCTTCTTGTGAACTCATCAACAGTGAATATTTTGTCTAGATGTTTCTCACTCTGTTGGGCCACACGTAAAATGCAGAGCCGGATGAAATTGTTCCTTCAAATAATAAATATGATATAAATGTTATGACCTAATTCTAGGGTTTCTGGGAATGTTAAAATCTGTTTCACTGGCAACAACTTTGATTAGATAAAGTTGTATGTGACTCATCAGTTTGCTTAAAGATTAATAGGTTCTAGGACTACGTGCATGTATAATAATTGTTTGAAACATAAACTTGCAAATGTATCACTGTCATCTAAGATTTTTACACAACCAATGCTTTGAGTAGCCAATCATAACATAATCTCTCTCTCTCTCTCTCTCTCAGCTATCTCTCTCTCTCTCTCTATATATATATATTCTATATATATGAGGCAATATACAGATATATATATATATATATATATATATATATATATATATTATATATATATATATATATATATAGTATATATATATATAATATATGAAAAACTAATAATATATATATATATGGATACATATATATATATATATATATATATATATATTATATATATATATATATATCATATATATATATATATATATATATATATATCTATATATATCTTATACATAATAAAATTTTTTTTTTTCTTCATGTTACTGACATACAAGACATTCACAAGTAATCAATGTTGGCAGCCTGTTTTTTTTTTCCAATGGTATCACATGTCAGCTTACACTCCTTTTTTTCATTTCTTTTGTCCTTGAGCTTTCAGCTGATCACTACCATAAGACTTATTTTGCTTTTCTCAGTAATTCTGTAGTTTCTATTTCAAACTAGGGTCTGAGAGTCCAGTTCAGTGCAACAGATCCCACCCTGAACACATTATCAACTGAGTAATCCAAACAAGTCATAACTAGCAAAAATATTTGCAAGCAATGGAAACAGAAAAGGCAATGAACACCACATTCTATGCAGCTCACACAAATGTGTTGTGCAAAAAATTCTTTAAATTTGACACTTAAAAGCATAATGGTAAGAAGAGACAATGTTTAAACAAATTATTATTTAGGTTATTTGAAAAAAAAAAAAAAATTGGACAAACCTACCCTGCATGAAAAACATCAGCTAATTTCAGCATGGCTGAGTTGATGAGAATAGGAAATGGATACTTCTCAAACAGTCTAGGAGTCTTCACAACAGCTTCACACTGTACTCCTATTTGTCCAGATCGAATAGCTGGGGACAATATGATAATATTCTACAAAAAATGAATAGGTCAAAAATTAGAATAAAATAATTAATGATTTCCTTTCTACATCAGAAAATACTTATTCATCATCTGTCATGAAAAAGACATTGCTTGTAATTGTCAGCTGTAAGGAAATCTGTGACATTTGCATCTTTATGACAGCAGCACTGACATTAAAATTTTTTTTTTTCTTATTGGCATGCAATCTGGTGACTCAACAGCACATATCTTGATCAGAAAATGATGATATCACTAATCAACTGTCAGTAGTGTACAGTGATAGTGTGAAGCAAGTCTATGAGGTTGAAAATCAGCATGGACATTTGTTGCTGCTCTGTATTCCCAAAGGTGGTAAATTGTAAATGGTGTTCCTAGCAGCTAATAACGGCCAGTTTACAGCCAGTATTTGAAGATTCTTTGTGTGCAGCAAAATGTGCTAATTGTATGAGAGCAGCATGAAAGAATGAGTGTTATTACTGTTTATCCAGAACATACCCTGAGTTATTATTACATCTTTAACCAGAGACATTGGAATAAATTTGTAATTAACTGTCCATGATGACTTATGAAATCATTAATGTTTACAGTTGGATTAGGCAAAACTGTGCCTTAATTCCAGTGTCCTATTTGCACACATTCTGATATTCATCACCAAGCCTACCACTCTTTATTACATAGTAATTTCCTAAAAAATGTAGGGTAAACCTTTTGACATCAGCCTATGATAGAACACTGAAACACCTGATTGCTCCACCCTGTCCTTATACCTTTCAGAACCTTCCAACAGTTATATCGCCTTACTTTGACAGCTACTCTCTGCTGTATGTGTGGGACATACACCTGGAACATCAGGTTAACACATGTTTTCATGAATGGTGTATGCTAACGGTTGTGTTAACTGATTTATCTGTGCGAATCAGTCATACATAATTCATAGCAGCCTAAATAACTTAGCACCTGAACTACACTGCTAAAATAAAAAATGGAAAGGCCACTTTCAGTTTGTAGGTCATTTCAACTTAGCTTTTTTTTAGGGAACCTGAACATACAGATTAAAAAAAAAAAAAAATGTTTTGCTGCATTTTTTAACAATGCTTGTAAGTTAATCTGACAATAAATCAAACCTGTGTTACATATTTATACCTCCAAAGTCAATTAATTAAGACTGTGTGTTGGAAAGGGAAATAATCCATGCTTGAAAAAGTATCCTTTGGTAAAGCCTGTTGATAATATTGCTGATATTTGTTTTTCACGTACAAGTCGTGACTATTGTGAACACACGTCATCCCCTTTTTGGGAGGAAAAAATAACTGGTATGTTTGTAACATTTATCATTTTAACCATTGTTTAGTAAGGACACTTGAACAATACTGACAGATGAAAAGTTGCAGGATGATGTAGAGCTGTGAGAGGTTGCTAGGAGATTAGAGTTGCCCACTCTGTCATAAAAACTTGTGATATATATCGTTAACATGAAATCGGCAGTGTCGCAAAACATGCAACGTGACCTGTCACCCTACCTATCCTGGCTCCAGCTCATCTGGTTTGGGCTCAGCCTCGTGTGACCTGGACAAGGCATCAAAGGATCAGAGGTTTGTTCAAAGATGAACCCTGTTTTACCAGATCATTCACAGACGTCAGAAATCATGTCTGAATATGCCCAAGAGAACACTGTCATGATTGTAGCATTTTCTGAGGCATCTGCCATTATTTTCGGTTAACAATATTGTCTGTCTGAGAATTATTTTTTTACCCGATAACCCCAAAATCTGGATATGAATTCTAATATCATGGCTGCCATGTTTGAGCATAGTTTAGTAATTATGTTAAAATTTTTATTGAAGTACAGAAATGCAGCTGTTATATATGAGTTACATTTTTTAAAATCCACAACAGTTATAGCATTTTAAATGCATCTGTGTTGCTTGCTAATCTCACTTTGCTGTTAAACTGTGTCAGAGGCATGGTCGCCTATGCCAGTAGTAAAGGCGCTAGATGCTGATGATAGCAGAGGCAAGTGCAAAAGGTCCACACACACTCTAAAATGTGGGACAAGTGTTTCTTGGGTTTCGCGAGAGACAGCAGACTCACGGGTTTTGCAAGACCGACGCGTGACTAGCCGCTGAGCTGAAAGTTAGACCCTGTCCAGTCAGTGCCCTCAGTCTGCGCGAGAGTTCGAACGTGGTATGACTTTTAATCGTAATAATCTGTATTATTTTATTCTGGCGAAAGCTTAGATTGTTCATTAGAATTTGGTGCTGAGAGCAAAACACTTTATATCCTATTACAAGGATGTGATCGTTCCTTTTAAGGTTCTGACTTGCAGGGAGACTCGATGTGCCGGGGGCAGGGTCTCTAGTCAGTTCGGTGGCAGGATTTCTGACTGCGACTGCATGTCGTAGAGGTGTAGTGACATTGGCACAGCCTCTAGTCAGTTATTATAAATAGGTTATTAGCGACCCAAAGTATGGGCCCATAACCGAGGTGTTTATTGAAGGCTACTGGTGACATCAGGAGGGACCCCGTAGGCCGAAGATGTTAATGTCGTGGATTCATGTCAAGTCAAGGCTTGGTGTCGCCCTCTGAGGTGATACCACCTTGGAAGTATACCCATGGGTATTGGGTAGCATTAGACGAAGGTAGTTCTGTAATCACCAATCCATCCAATGTGTTCGTCAATAAAGTGACTGATGCGTGATTAAAAAGATGACTTTTAATATCTGTGTTTCTTGATGCTGTTATCAGTGTTGGTGGAGAGATGTGACTGTGTAATTGTTATCTAAGCACTCTCCAGTAGGGAACCCAACTAGCTGTTGGATAGTCAACTTGGGGACTTTCATATATATACATATATATAAATAAAAGCTGTGGCTAGATTTTGGGCACATCACTCATCGAGTGTCGACTGGACTATAAAAAATTGGTTCTATTATCGTGAGCTATTGGTAAAAACAGAGGTCCATTATCGTTTAACTTAGGCAGGTTTGGTAACAGCCATTGTTAAATAATAACTGTTTTAGACTTATGGAGTAAAATTACTCATATACACACACACACACACACACACACACACACACACACGAAGCATTAATCATTCACCTCGAGACACTTCCTAACAGTCTGTCATTACTTTAAGTTTACAGTGCCTGTTTGAGATATTTTACCTACTTTATCACCCCAAAATCCAGAACATATCACACGTCAAGGCTGCATTTTGTAATTATGTTAAAATACTCACTAACGTGCTAGTTATACGTGATTTATTTTTGAAATCTCAACCATTATAGCATTTTTTTTTATACAACTGTCATTTTACGTTGACATTATCTGTTTGAGACACTTTTACTAGAGCACTCCCAGCCTGCGATCATTTCTTCTATATTTCATACTGTCTGTATGTTTAGTAATTAACTTTATATAGACACTAAAGTACAACTATTACATAAGTATTAAAAAAAAATATCTGCAACCACTGCAGCTGTGTGGTGGGTACCTACTCTTTTGCTTCCAAGTAAAAAAAGTCCCAGGTACAATGATAATTTAACAATAGACTAGCATCAATTATGACACTATTCCTTCAACAAATGACAACACAGAATCTCCCCTTCAAGATATGTCAACATAAATCAATGCCAAAAAAAAAATAAATTCTTCTGGTAATGAACAAACAAATTGTACTATTAGTACATACCCACAAAAAGAAGCTAATCTATAAAAGTGCAAAGTAGCAATTATGACACTATTCCTTCAACAAATGACAACACAGAATCTCCCCTTTAAGATATGTCAACATAAATCGATGCAAAAAAAAAAAAAAAAATCTTCTGGTAATGAACAAACAAATTGTACTATTAGTACATCCCCACAAAAAGAAGCTAATCTATAGAAGTGCAAAGTAGCAATTACAATGTATATCAATTTTGTAATAATAACATTCATACTGCATGCAAATTCTAATTACTATAAGTTAAGTAGCAATTACTATAGGTTAGGTAGCATCCTGTGGTTTTGTTGAAAGTAAAGGCATAAACAATGCCATGTTCATCTTGAAAGAATTACTGAAATGAACAGAGATCTGTATTTGTGCTTTACTGACTAACAAAATGAAACATGAAGAAATTATTAGAATTTTGGAAACCTTAACCACTGATCGTAAAGATCTGAGAATAATTTAAAAAATATATACTGGCAACAAAAAGCAGCCATAAAGATTGTCAATCAAGCTGGAAATTTTCAAAGCATTAGACATAAATGTGAACTATGACCCAATTTATTCCATTTGTACAGTGAAATAGTAATCAGACCCATACATGGTATGCCAGGAATATCGGTTGGTGGGCATATTGTTAACAACCTGTGATATGCTGACAACATAGTTTTGATCTGAAAATGAAACACAACTGCAAGAAATGATGTAACAGAAAGTGAAAACAAGGGTCTTAGTTTCAACAGCAGAAACAGAGGAGTAATGGTAATTACACAGAAAACTGACCCTCCAAAATGCAACATTAAAGTAAATGGGATTAACCTTAGATACGAAATCTACAGTTGGCAGATTAATGAAAAATTATTTGGAAGCTGCTGAGATGTGGTTTTATAGATGAATGATGAGAATACCCTGGACAGATAAAAAGAGTAATAAAGATGTCTTGAAAGAAAGTGACACACAAAGAGAACTGATCGCCCACATCAAAAAGAGACAATCTACATTCTTTGGTCATATGATTAGGAGAAAAGTCGAGTACCACTGTGACAGTAGGAAAGTTGGCAGGAAAGAGAGGCAGAGGTAGACAGAGAGAAAAGATGCTGGACAATTTGATATCATGGCATGGAGGAGCATCTATATAAGATTTTATTGAAAGTACACAAGACAAAAGGTTGTGGATAGACACAACTACCAACTCCACATGGCATGGACTTTAAGAAGAAGATAGCACCCAAAATATTTCACATACTGCTCAGTTAACTTCACAATTTTTTTTTTTTAACAAACAGGTTAAAACTATAGAGTAAAACAAAAAGCCCAGTACACAGTGGCTAAGCAGGTATGCCATCTGCATTTGCCTAATGGTTTGAATGTTAAAGGCTCCTTGGGAACTGCTGGAGCTATGAGGGTGTACTTTGTGCATCATTCTTGACAGGCGGCTAGCCATTGTGCAGAGGAAGATAAAGCAATACTGGGTAAAACAAAGTGCAATGCAGTTAATATTTCTGATTTTAAATCTCACAAAGTGCCTATTTAAAACTAGTGAGCTGGTGGTAATTTTTTAAAATGTTAATTAGACTATATCGCCTAAAATCTGCATTTTTATGTGACCGACATGTCCGCCTCATCACTCATCAATCTGCACAATAAATTATACATTTTGCCAGGATTGATGGCAAATAACAATAAATATATACTGTGTTTAACAAAAAAAAAAAAAAAAACAGTCAGCTGTTAATAGGGCCCATATTGTAACATATGTAGTTAAGAAAAACAATGAGTTAGGCCCCACTGCCCCGATTGCAATTTAATATGGTTGCTAAGGGATTCGTTAAAAAACAAAAGTTGTTTTTATAATAAGCTAACGTTTTTTATAATTTTAACTAGGGCTGTACTGAATAGTGATTTTCACTATTCGGCAGAATACGAATAACGGGACCAACTATTCGGCTGAATCGAATAGTGTCTTAAATGTATCCAAAAAAACAACAACAACACACACACATTTATAATGTCAAATGTACGCTGAACTTTTACTTCACATAAAGTAGCACAGAATAGTCATCTTCTTCTTTAGCATTCTGAACCCTTGAGGTTTTCTGCTGCATTCATCTCTCTGGCTGGCCTTCTCTTCACAATTTGTGACACCAGTTGTTTGCAGGTCTGGCTGGACATTATCTCTCAAACTTCTTTTTTGTCTGCCTTTTGGTCTACGCCCATTCCTCTCTCAGGTGTATACAGTTTTTACTTCTCTGTCATCTGACATTCTTTCAGTATGCCCCAACCATTTTAGTCTGTTAGCTCTCATGATGCCAGTGATCAATGGTGATTTAAACAGATTATGTGTTATGTTGTTGCTTCTCACTCTCCATTCCAGGCTGTTAGTATATTTGATGGGTCCAAAGATTTGTCGTAAGACTTTTCGAAAACCTGTAATAAGGCCCCATCTCTTTTATTTCTGCTTCAAGTTTCAGAGCTATATAAAACGACTGGTCTTATCAACGTTTTATATATTTTAATCTTGGTGTTGCGAGACAGACATTTTGATTTTAGCAGATGTTGAAGGGCATAGTATACTTTATTTCTAGATTGTATTCTAGATTGTATTTCTTCTCTCAGCATGTTGGAGCAGTTGAAGTTTGCCCCCAAGTACTTATATGTTTCCGTTCCGTTTGATTTTCATGTTGTCGACTTGGATATGGCCGGAGTTTAAATTCTTTCCATGTCTGGCTAGTATTCGTACAGAATAGTAAACATTTAAAAACATGTATGTTTTGCATCCTTCAGTCATTCTGTGGTAACTAATATCTATGAATGAAAGAATCCTTAGTATTATAATAAACTTGTAAATTGTCACCAACAGCTTAGTTAATGCAGGAAAGCTTCATTAGCTTTCAACTACTATTCTTATTCGGCTCGACCGCAACTATTCGGCCGAATACTGAATAGTCAATAGATCCACTTTTCGGCCTCGAAGCGAATACGAAGCGAATATTCGGTACAGCCCTAATTTTAACCCTACATTTTACTGGGATGCAATGCGGAATCCATTTTTTGTCAGATATCCTAAAATTTTATCAGCCACTAAAATGTTAATATCTCTGCTTAGAATTTAGTGATAAGCTTCAAAGAGGTATTAAATGAGATACTTTAATCTCCATTCCGCTGTGATAAATTCATAAGTGAAAACCCAAAATATAAAACTTCACCGGACATTGAGACATTGGTATAAATTACTATATTGATTTTATGGCTCTCCTCTGAACTTCTCTATTATGGCGGCCAAGCAAATAGCCTAACAGGGCCTCAGTTGTGTGCAAAATGATGACTGTCTGCCAAGGAACAAATCGCGGCAAAACTAGGATTACTTGACAATTTCAAGAGACGCAACACTGCAGATGATAGTACCAGACAATAATAGCGACCGTTGACAATTTCAAGTGTTTCTGCAGACAATACTAGCAGACGATAATAGCGACCATTAACAATTTCAAGACACGCAACATTACAGATGATAATAGCCACCTTGCGGGGAGACCACTCGCTGCGACGCAGAGTAGCGGTGTTGTTGTCCTCACACTTTTCGGCATGCGCAAAACGTGGTTAAACTAAACCGCCGACAGTATCCCCCGCGCCACGGATAGGGATCTAAACTAGATGCCTGGGACTCACAAGCAAATAAATTTGAGGAAGTTGCAGTAGATGCGGTAGCTACTGCTCGTGAGTCCCAGCCATTTAGCCTAAGCCCCCCCCCCCATCAACGCTGTGCGTAGCAGGGCTGGGGATACTGTTGGCGGTGCGGCATAGCCGCAGAAAAAAGTTCGCAATTAAAATATCGCTGAGATCCTGTTGTTAGAGCATTTGTTTTGTTATTCGGAGCCGATCTTAGTTTTGCCGCGATATGTTCCTTGACAGAAAGACGGCATTTTACACACGACTGAAGCCCTGTTAGGTTATTTGCATGACCCCATGACCGCCATAATATCGGGTAGAAGTTCGGGGGAGAGCCTATTTTCTTTATTTACAGCCAACAAACTTTCAATATGCGGAGATGGCACTTGATTGAGTGATTACTACAATAACCCTATATAAGTGAAAAGTGCCACAATTCCATCACTGCATTAAAAAAGAAATTCAGACAGTCAGTTACCTTTATCAAGCTCTGCTAAAGCTGAATTCGCATCTTGCTCTTGTTCAAATGATATACTTGCAATTTGCCGGTTGTTCCCTAATGTCGCCATCGTTTCTTTGAAATTCTTTCCCTCAACTCAGTTGACGTTGTTTGAGTTAGGTCGTAGAAAAAGCGTTGTCAAATCTAGATGTTAACTGATTGATAAGTACGTATTATTTTTTGAATTACAAACAAATGCTATGACTACTGTTACCCTCACATATTTAAAACAATATGCTGCTTCAACCATTAAAAACCGTCCGCTGTATTTATTAAACATGTGAATACAGATTGTTTCGTAGAATAATAAAAATGATATAGGTTTTAATTGAGTTGTGTTTGGCGATGTCACATGACTTTTAATATGGCAGACAACGCGAAAAGATTTTTAGCTTTGTTAAACGGGCTGGCAAAAAGGAACTATTATGGACAGACAGAATTAACAGACGATGTGTTGAAAGAAGAAGTTTATCCTGATATTTCACAGGAAGACTTTGGTAGGATTAACTCAAGGACTGCTGGATTATTAAAGGTGTGTAGCTATATCAGTGATTGACCGAAGACACCATCATTGATCATGGCATCATGTAAAAAGAGAAGGGGCGTGTCTTGTCGGGATAATGTTGCGTTTCGCGATAATTTACTGTTGGAAAGCAATTCACAGCAGTGCTCAGGGGAGCCCTAAGGCCCCCCCATAAGCCTTCATTGAATTTGAGAAATTATCTGATTTATTTAACTTTAGAGGGCAGTCATATTTGGCACTCTTCCGAATACCGGCCCCATATTATTCAAAGACAAAAAATCCCATTCAGGGCCTCAAGAGGTCGTTGGTAGAGGTCATGTAGTTAAAAATATAACCATTTTTTGTTGTTCCATATTTTGTATAACCTCTTTATAACCCCTTGACCTCTTTGTAACCTCTTGAACCCTTTGAGGCTCTAACAGGAATGTTTTGGACAGCAAATAATATGGGGCTGGTATTCGGAAGAGTGCCACCGTCACATATTATTATATAGGGTTTTTACTTATATCATAGCAGGATAGAGGTTACAGCAGCCGTTCTCAAACTTGATAACGCGGCACCCAAGGGTGCCGCAAGCGAATGCCATGGGTGCCGCGACACTAATCAAGAATTTTTCAAATTCACTTGGGATCAGTGAAGACAGCAGTTAAAAACAGGGCTCTCCTCCGAACTTCTTACCCCGCATTATGGTGGCAACAAATATCCGTACGGGGCTCAGTTCTATTAAAAATATGCGAACTTCCGGCGACGAACGAATCGCGGCATAACTAGGATTACCTGACACTTTCAAGAGACGCAACACTGCAGACGATAGTGGCAGACGATAATAGCGACCGTTGACACTTTCAAGCGTTTCTGCAGAGAATACTAGCGACCATGGACAATTTCAAGACATGCAACATCACTGATGATAAAAGCCACATGGTGGGGAGTCCACATGCGCCGACGCAGATTAGTGTCAATGTTGTCCTCAAACTTGTCGGCATGCGTAAAACGCGGTTACACTCACCGCCAACAGTATCCCCCGCTACGCGCGGCGCGGATGGGGGGGCTAAACTAGGTGCCTGGGACTCCCGAGCAAATTAACTGGAGGAAGTTGCAGGAGATGCGGTAGCTGCTGCTCGTGAATCCCAGCCATCTAATTTAGCACATATCCGCGCAGCGCGTAGCGGCGCGGGGGATACGGTCAGCGGTGAGGCATAGTCACAGAAACAGGTCTGCAAATAACTTATTGCTGAGATCCTGTTAGAGCATATTTTTAATAGAACTGAGCCCCGTACGGATATTTGTTGCCGCCATAATGCGGGGGTAGAAGTTCGGAGGAGAGCCAAAAACAGAAATACCACGAAGGAAGCCAAGAAGAGTTCTGGATGCAGCTGTATTTACTGAACAATGCTATTGGCAAAGTTGCAGAGCATTCTCAACGTACATTTTCATTAAAAAACAAATATATGAGTAACCTTCAAATGATTTGAGGGCACAATTAACTAAACTTCCCATAAACATAAAGGAAATAAAGAAAATTCCATCTAAACAGTTTCATTCATCACATTAAAGACAACTGAACATTAAATTTACACTGGTTTGGATTTTTCCTAAGTATTAAAACTGCTTTAAGGGTAGGTGTGCCTGACAAAGGTGCCGCAAAAAAAAGTTTGAGAACTGCTGGATTACAGTATCCAATCCAGTGATACCTCATTGAAGCCTAACACTAACTATAAGACAGTTTGGCTATCCTATGAATAACGGTCCCAAATTATCAAGGCTAAGAGAATACCCTAACAGGACCTCAGTCATATGTAAATTGTGGACCTCTTTCCGGTGACTTTACCGCATAAAAGCTTCCCCCGAGTTAAAGTCACCGCCGAGAGTTTCAGCTACCACATCTCCTGCAGCTTCCTACATTTTATTTGCTCGTGAGTCCCAGCCATCTATCTAGTTTATCCCCCTTCCTTGCCATGCCGTGGCGGTATAGTCGCCGGAAAGAGGTCCGTAATTTACAAATGACTGAGGCCCTGTTAGGGTATTTTCTTAGCCTTGATAATTTGGGACCGTTATACGGAGGATATCCGTAAATTCTGAGCGGAGTTATTAATATTTTAGTGGTTGATACTACTGTTGACATATAATAGTGTAATCTAACTAAACATGGCTGACCCAGCAATATGTAGGGTTGAAATGATTAAATGTTTATGTTTTCTATCAATAACATTTTAAAGATGAAAATCTTAGCAACCATATATCATTACAATCAGGACATGAAGACTTAACTGTATTTGACATGTCTTAGGTTTAGGTTTGGGTTTAGACAACGGATCAGCATCATGGCACAAGGTAGTAACCCGTAAGTGCTCTGTTCTACTTCTGACCTGAGTCTGAAGCATCTCAGCACAGTGCACAAATTCTGTTGCACCGGCAAGAATCATAAAATACTTTGGGTAGATTTTTTATTCTACATATTGCCCATTAGGCTACTCTCTTTCAAATTAAATCTGCCAAGTTGTTTTTTTCAAGGGAATATTACATTAATTCATTTTGAGGTCCGGATTTTTCTGCAGTGCAACTCTGCTACCACTGTCTCAAAGCTATAAGACTGTCTTTTTTTTAAAAATACAGTAGTTCCTCAGAATTTAAACATAATTTGCTCCAGGATGGCATTCAAATTCCAAATCATTCAAGTTCCACAGCAGTTTTTCCCATTAAGAATACTGGAAACTAAAGGAATCTGTTCCAGGGTCAGCAAACTCAAATTTTAAAATGTATTTTCCTGAATACAGTACACTGTAAACATCATCGCCAGTCAGCAAATCCTTTACAGAACTTTGCACTCCTCATGACATGCCTGAAAGTATCCCGCTCCCTAGCCAGCTCTCCGGCCCCATGTGCTTTCAATGCCAATGCATCTTCAATGTCCTGTATCCATCTTTGTGAATACAGGACATATGCCTGGCTTTCCAAAAACTGCACCCTCCATCATTCTCTTTTCCAAGCCACCATGAAGTTTGATGTGGCCAAAATACTTCAACTTTCGGGACAGAACACTGTTTACGAGCCAATACTCCTAGATGTTTAACTTGTGTAGAATGTCAATGTTTGTCCTCTTCTTGATCTTTGGTTTTCTGAGAAATTTTCTGTAGCATTTTAGTTCAAAAGCTCCAGTCTTTTTCTTCAGTGACTGAGGGAGAGCCCAGGACTCACAACTATAAGTTGCCATAGGACAAATGCATGATCTCAAGATTTGTACTTCAACTAATTTTAAGGTGCTTTGCCAAAGGTTCTTCATGCTATTTAATCTCTGCATTGCCAAAGCAAGTCTTCTTCTGTAAATATAGTAACACATAATGATCCTATTTGAATAAAACCATAAATTAATTTTGAAAAATATACAAATATTGTACTTTTTATACCTTGATCAAAATGGGGACATAGCACATCAAAGTGGGAGGAAGAAGGGGGGAATTAGTGACATTATTGTTTGGAAGGTGAGTAATCTTCCTTGATAACATCAGGAATCCTTTCTGGTGATTTATTTCATAGTCGTACACCACTTGTAGAGGGTTCGATAATGTTAAATTTGAATTAGTTTAAACTCCTGTTTACAAGGGCTCTGTCAGGGTGCCACTTCTTGTATTTTTGACCACATGGTAAATAAGTTTTGATTTCAGCAGTGCTAATTCTTCCAGCTTCTCCCTCTTTGTGTGTGTGTGTGTGTCTGCAGTTTCTTCCTTCTGCTGCTAGTGAAGGTTCTAAAGCTCTTGCATTGTGATCTCAGTAATGTGATTGGCACCTACAAGGCATTTGATTTCCCAGGTAGCGATCAAGTTTTAAGGTCAAATGTACTTGAACATTTTCTTTGCTCCAAAGTATTCAAATTTTTAGGCGTTCAAATTCCAAAGAACCACTGCCATAAATGTTCCAGTAAATAAGAGTTATGTCTTTTAATGTATCTGAAGTATTTCACTTATTTAATTTCTTTTATTTCTCGCAGACTCTTTCTGTTCAATCTCTGCAGAACTTCTGTATTTAATTAGTTGTGTTTTCATGAATCATCATAATGTAGCAGGTCCTTTGCTCTCATTACGGTCTGCCTGAAAGAAACTCGGTCTCTCACCAGCTCTCCCACCTCATGTAGTTTCATACTCAAGGAGTCACTTATAACCTGTGCCCATCTTCGTGTTGGTCAACCCCTGCCCCTCCTTCCTGGTACCAAGCCTTTTGCTATAATTTTTTCTAATCCGTCGTGGCGCTTGATATGACCAAAATATTTCAGCTTCCATTTCATGAAATACCAACTGTTTAAGTACATCTATATTTTAAAATGTTTCATATAAATGCAAAGAGGGTGGTAATAAACAACCCTTTTTTTTTAAATATAAAAATATTTGACTAGAGTGACTAGAGAGATGATGTTGATTGGGACTGTTCAGCTAGTGGCCTGTGGGCCAAATCTGACACGCTAATGCCTATCAAGTGACTAGCAGAAAGATTTGACTGTTTTTTTGTGTGGTCATTCTTGTTTTCAAATGACTGCATTGTTTTTGCAGAGTCTGGTTTCAGCTGATATGGATTTGACCCAACTGGAGGCATTTCTGACAGCACAGATGAAGCGTAAAGATGGGGCATTAACAGAAGATCAAGCAGCTGCAGTCAGAAAATTTTGGAAGGCAAACAAAACGAAAATTCATGATAAAATTGTGTCTCAGACTATGTGGGGAAACAGTCTACAGAAAGTTTCTTGGCGTGTTGACCTCAAGTCTCAGTCTCGAACTGTTGAACAATTAAATGCTCCTACTGCGATCATGGAATTGCATATTGCTGACAATATCAACAAAGCAAAGGTAAATTTAATGTTTACTTTTGATCTCATATCATCAAATGAGATGTGTTCTAAATGTTGTTATAGCCAGTAACTGCATAGACAATGCATTTAGATCTTGACATGAATTTCTATCTTTATCGAAGACATGTAGAGTGATTTCTTTTGAATTCATTGTCCTGCTTTGTCATCATCATTTTCAAGATGATGCAGACAGCATACCATACATAATTTAAAAGTACCAACCACAGTCCTTTGAAAATTTTGTCTAGATCTCATTCTGTATTCATCATATAATGAAAATAAATCAAAGAAAGGTTCACATTCTTGTCTGAGACCCTTCCTTATGTGCACAAAAGTGTTCCTAAATAGCTTTGTTTACCACCACATGTTGTTCTTTATGCACAGATCTTTTATATCAATATTGAATTGTTCTAGTAGTTTGGCTGTTTCTGCATGTTTTAACTAAAATACTTTCTCTGATTGTGAAACAGATTTGTTTACACACTGGTGATATTATATGCCACATATGTTTTTTATACAATCATATTTACTCAAAATATAGGAGCCTTTAAGACATTCTGATACTTCATTGACAGCTAATGTAAGCTGACTTTCAACAGTCACACAGTGTTGGTGAAGTTTATAAAATAAAATTATAACTAGGAAGCAGTTATACCAATAGAACTGACCATTGCAAAATGTAGGTCTTCTGTTAACAACTTTTTGCAGATCTGAAACTGAGCAGTGTACTGACCTCAGTGCACTTACCAGCGTTGATCTTCAGAATCATTCCTATAGTTGTGATTCTTATTTCTGGAGGATGTATTATCAGTTATACCCTAATAAAAAAAAAACATTTTTCACACTGACTTCCCTGTAGCTTAGGTGCACTTAGATGCTGGTTTGAGAATCAGCTGTACACACATGCCGTGATTGTAACAGACTCACAGAGCATGTTGAGAAAGGTTAAAACAGGCATGCTTCGTGCAGAGTGGCAAGCATCACTTTAGAGGTCCTGGGTAGTTAGCATCCTTTGGATATTTTCTCCAGGGATTGCCAGTGTGTTGGGAAATGAGCAGGCAGACAGACTGGCTGGCTCTGCACCACTTGGTGGCGAATTGATGTTTGGCAATTTAGATATTTTGATTGCCCTTTGGGATCGAGTGAACAGTGCGGAGGCGCAGATAGATCATTATGGTCTCAGGAGAATGGCGCTGCGAGGAGTTGCGAGGGAATCTGGCCGACGCTCAACACTCAGGGGAAGGATGAGACGGATATACAGTCAGACAGTTACTGCTACTATTGGAATTGGAACTCTTCACTTGCTGTTGAAGGTGGAGACTGAGCACTTATGGGAGTGTCCCGAGTGCTGTGATATTGATTCTTAATTCATCATTTATTCACTAGATTGATACATGACCCCTCTCTTCAGGTTTCCAGGCTTGATTTTGGGGAGAAAAATGAATAGACTCACTGCAACAAGCATGTCAAAAAAGGCAACTAAGTAGGGGTTTTTCTAAATCAGATGTGTTTAGTAAAATGATGTAGTTGTTTCAGCCTAGCTGAAAACCACAACACACTGTGCCAGTTAACCCTTTAAATGGCATGTATAAGAGAAGAAGACCCTTGACCGAGTTCATTAAATTTTTTTTTAGAAAAGCAGTAAAATAAGCTAATTACACATTTTACTTTATTAGGTTTTGTTTTTGGAGTTTTGTTTACAAGGACATCAATTTGATTATGTGTGTAATTCATTAATTTGTATAATTAATAATACTTTTTATTATATTTGATTATTATAATAGCTCATGCACTGATTTGACAAATATACATAATTTTCTTATTTTAGGGATCTGAAGTTGTGAGATTTGAGCTTGATGAAACAAAGGTGGCAGAATTGCTACACACCATGCAGGAGATTGATACACAGATAAACAGCTACATCAAAACATAACACTTTTATAAAAACATAAGTTGTCTTACATTACTAAATAAAAGCAAAAGTGTTTTACATTACATTGCAAGGATTGTATTTATAGATAATTTAAACAGAAAGTTACTACAGACTTGTTTACTCAGTTAAAGGTTCATGGGGTGCAACAGAAGCAAACAGCAAAGAGCACATAATGATACCCACAATAGGGGAGACTTGTAATGTGCAGGCAGTGAACTTGCACACCTTTTATATTTCTGATAATTGTAGAACCATATGTAGCTCTGTGATTTCTGATTTATAGTGAAGAATCAGTATTACTTTCTTCTTCTGCCTTGTCTCCCCCTGTGGAGCATGGCTGAACAAAACCCATAGGTGCTGATCTTCTCTCAGCGGTTGTTGATTGTCTTTGTTTCAAGTTTGCTGGTTATGGTGAAAGACAGTGATACAAGTGAATGGAGGGTGCAGACACGAAGAGGATAATTACAGTTACAAACAGACATGTTAAAATAAGGATTTGTTGCTGAGTAAATGAAGTCTTACACAGATAGAAAACATAACAGATCAAGGTAAAATCCAGAGGATCGACTTTACTGTAATTTGTTTTATCCCATATTTTCTCACAGAGCGCATAGCACAAACATGAGCTCTGTAGCTCTAACAGTCCCCATACATAACAGTGGTACCCAAAAAGCAAACAACTCATGACCTTTAGAGCTTGAGGCAAACAGCTTGACCACTTCACAATAGAGACCCCTATCAGTCGTTGATGTCAGGCATCTGTTGTGTATCATCAAGAATTTTGGGATTATATTTGAGGTTCATGACTTTTTAGACAAACAAAAGTTGATATAGCCAGAATTTAGCTGGTGATTTTTTTTCCCCTTTCTGCAACAAATTGTTATGAAACTAAATCAACACATGAAATGACCTGGTCAGATAAACAACTCAACCATTACTGGGCTTCAAGCTGCAGTGTTCTGTATGCTAGATAAGCACTAACCAGTATACTACAACAACCTTTTCAGATGAACAGTGGAAAAAAGATGCTTTAAGCTCAGCAGGCAGCTGGGAAGTCAGATAGAAAAGCTAAGGTTAGAATTTCTGGTGCACAAAGTGATGATTGGTAGTAGCACCAGCTAAATTCTGGCTATATCAACTTTTGTTTGTCTAAAAAGTCATGAACCTCAAATATAATCCCAAAATTCTTGATGAAATTGTTGAATATTTGAAACTAATGAATGTGTTTATGATGCAGAGGCTGTTGATTGAGAATATATACAAGAATGAACAACCATTATTGAAAAGTTTCTGATTTGAACAAGTAGTTCACAGTTGTGTGAGAATGAAAGAAAGAGGACATTTGCAAGTGCAATAACTAGCAATGAAATAGTTTAAGGATGAAATTGTCTTTCTAATAGATTCCTGCCATTATTTTTATATATTATTTTTAATAACTCGTGATAATTTTATTCAAATTTAGTTAGTAAAAGTGAGTAGAGGATCCAGTCCTATACCTTGTGGTGTCGTGGGCTTTTGGTTTATATACCAAGTTGAACTTGATGCATGAAGTGGTCAGTATCACACTGGCTATCTTTCCTTCCAAGAACATGTCCTGGTACTCATTTTTAGGCAACTTACGAGATCAGTTCAACTTTAACAATTTGTCTGAGTGGGTAATTTAAATTTGTGACAACTTGACTGGCAGGCAATGTCATTAAAATATCATTTTGAATTGTTCAAGAAAAAAAAACAACAACCTTATGAACAGTACATTCTGCCAAAGTTAAATGCTTATTGACTGCCCATTGGAACACAGAAATCATCACTAATGTGCGCGACAGACACTCACTAAATAACCATTCGGAATACTGAACATGCAGCAATAGAAATGGGACATCATTAAAAGAAAAGAAAAAAAAAAAAAAAAAATACAGAGAAATATGAAATTTATTGAACAATTGTGTTATAAATATTTATCAGTCCAGGAAATTTATGCGGCAGTATAACAAAGGTCATCAACTTTCAACTTCTGCTTGACGACGAGAAAACAGTGAAGTTAATTACTGATCAGTGAGGTATTGTAGAGTGGGTTATCATGATTACAATTAAATGTTTACCAACAAATATAAATAATGTACAGTGTATGCATCATTTACAATAGGCAGAGACAAATAAATACAGGTATTTTATGATCAAATAGAAATAGCGATTTCAAACTAATTCACAGGAAGTCAAAAAATAGTACTGGTAAATTGAAATGCAAAATTAGGAAAGATAATTACAGGACAAGTGGTTGGTGACCTTCTTCTTGTTCTGTTTTTCATCTATGAATGGAGCATAGATTCTCAACGGATATCAAACCCTTTATCGACATATTCAGAATTGGTTGGGTTTTATAGCTAAAGTTTTTTCCAGAAGGAGGTTTCCAGTCTTACGCTACCCCTCTTAGCCATCACTTACAACACTCATTGTAGGTTTTAGTTTTCCTGTTATTTGCTTCTCTTTTGGTCTCTGTAATCTGGTAATGTACAGGCAGGTTGGGGATTATAATTTAGGACTGAATAAAAAGGTGGCAAACTGAGACTCTTGGAAAAAGGAAAAGACTTGTTGACTGGAAACTTCTGGTTTAAGCAATATGAAATATGAATGTACACATGGGAGCGCCCTGATAGAAAATGTTCCATCAAACTGACTATATTCTGGTTGATAGAAGTAAAAAAAAAAACAGTAATAAATGTTAAGACTATGTTGGATGCTGACTGTGACTGTAACCTCTGCCTCTGGGGAATAGATAAGACTGAAATGAGACAAAATAAATTCACAAAATCTTACATTTAACAAACATTCTAAATTCAGATTACAAAACAAATTGTGAGAAACAGTTTAATATACAAAATAAAAAGCAATATTGAACTTAGGGAATGCTGAAAGACTGCATCTATCAAAAAGTCAAAGATGTTAGAAAGAAGATACAAGCTAAGAAAAAAAAAAATGGACGACAGAAGAAATGTTCAAGTTGATGGACAAAAGCAAATGTAGTACATATAAAAAAAAATGTGATAAAATAGAAACCTGGAGATAAAGGCACAAGAACATTGGTTAAACAAGTTGTGAAAAATAATTGTCTTGTAATAGAAACAATATGCATGTGCAAATATGAGTGGTAACCTAACCTCAACCTGTCATAAAACAAAAAGTTATAACCGTTATGTACATTAAGCACTTGGTGAAATAAAACATTTATGTAGTCAGTCAAATTGCTGGATAATACAATCCTCACCAACAGACACACTGAGTGATCCTCCGGCGCCGAGATGTTAGTTCCTTGATGGTCTGCTGCCACCAGGATGCAGTTTATCTTTGCCAGCAGCTAATATTTGTTTCAATTTTGAGGATGGTGAAGTTGATGGCAAAACTGTGATTTTTTCATCTGCTGAGGGCTCGATATTCTCGTCTCTGGTAAAAAAAAAGTGAAATGGTAGATTTTGCACTCAAATCCATGCGCACAAAAACATCATTATGTATACCATTTTTGATGTTACTTATATATGTTCACAATCAGTTTAGTAGGATTAGAATCTAAACCATGTCCAGATTGCCATCACGATAATCGGTTATAAGAGGATAACATTTAAACAGTAGACTATATGTAAGTCCTCACAGAAGCTGTCAAATGTAGCATCACAATTGTTGTTAAACATAAAAACAAAACAAAAAAGAAATTTATCCTTCTACAACCGAAAAAGAAAGCATTTATGGGTGACAAATGAACTGCAGCAGATGCTGGGTAAAATAATAACGAAAAAGAAGTATATATAGACAATAAAGAACACGTAAATAAAGGAAAAGACCTAAAAAAAACTTTTGCTGAATTAGAATATGGAGATTTGGGAGAGAACTAAACAAGTTCCAGTGAAACAAGAAGTAAGAGAAAAGATGCTGGTGTTGGATAGGACACATTGAGAAAACCTGATAACTGTATAACTAGGCTGTCCTTGCACGGGAACTCACAGGGCCAGGGATACAAAGGGATACTAAAATACACACAAACGCACACACATGCATGCACCCACACACTCATGTAGAAGAGAATTAGAGACTGACCTGAATAAATGGAGGACACGATGTAAGCTGCATTTACAGCAAAAAATCGAACAAATTGGTTGAGAGCCTATGTTGTACAATGAAATAAAGGGCAGAAAAATAGTTCCATGAAGCTTGTAACAAATTATGGGGAAAAGCCTCATTTTCCATAAACTTACAAATACACACCTTGACAAGTTAAAAAACAAAATACCCCTGGTCATTTCACAATGAAGTTATAGTTACAATAAGCAGTAGTCACAATGAAGCAGTAGTCACACTAAAACAGTAGTCACACTAAAACAGTAGTACAATAGACTAGTCACACTCAAACTGTTCCCCGTGTGGGGAAGACAAAAATAGATGACTGTCTCCCCAACAAACATGTCATACGAGTCAACTGGTAGCTTCCTTTGAAGTCGGATTGCATCTGCCTGAGAGGCAAGGAACTATCAATATGCATACAATGAAGTCAGACCTGTTAAACGGATGTGCACACATCACTCTCTTGTTCTAGGACAAGATTAAAGTCCAGAGATGGACAAACAACCAGAACTTTCTGCCGGACTTTACAGTCACAGAACGTGAAGAAGAAGAAGACTAAAACAGTAGTCACACCAAAGCAGTAGTCACGCTAAAACATTAGTCACACCAGTCAGTAGTCACAATAAAACTTAGCCACACATTAGCAGTAGTCACAATGAAGCAGTAGTCATATTAAAACAGTAGTCACACCAAAACAGTAGTCACACCAAAACAGTTGTCACACGAAAACAACAGTCACATCAAAACAGTAGCCACAGTAAAATAGTCATATTACAAAGTAGTCAGACCAAATAGTAGTCACGCCAAAACAGTAATCACACTAAAACAGTAGTCATACCAAAGCAGTAGTCACACTAAAACAGTAGTTACACCAAAGCAGTATACCAAAA